TTTATTCCATTTAGGCTCAGAAAACATATTTTTTTTGTTTACAAGGACCGGTCTGTAGTACGTACAGGAATTTCTGAACATGACTGCTGCAATTCATTTCACCTTTAATCCTATTTTGAAGCTGTAAGAAATTCACAGTATATCATCTGTAGGAAGATGTACAGGGAAAATATCACCTTAGCAAGAACTGCAGACTTCTTAGCAATGGTAACAATTAATGAGAGGAAAATGAACCCAATCTGACTTTTATACCATGTTGGACTTGCAAAGCTGAAAGTCAAAGAGGAAAGAAATATTTCTAAATTGAGTCTCTTTCATTTGACACTAAAGGTACATACCGTTGAATTCCCACAACACTTCTAAAGAGTTTGTTAGAAATACATAATAGCAAAATTTATGGTTCTACTGACAACCAAAAATTACAGTAATCATTCTCTTTTGCATTAGTTAAAAGGAGAGGCTCAAAGTATGAGTCAGGTAACACTTTTCAAACATGCAAAAATCATGCATTTAGATGGTGAATTCTGGAAGTTACATTTATAGGTACACTATTAACCACTTGCATTCAGAAGTATCTGATTTGTGCTAACATACAGATGGATTCCCTGTCTTCTTTATTTAATAAAATATTGAAGTTCACAGGGTAATATAGTCATGCAATTTACAATATATGGGCAACACATCATTGGAAGTCCTCAGAACTCTGCACAAATAACTACTACAGACCACCAGAACAGGAAGAAAATACACTGTTTCATTCCTTATTTTCCCTTAAAAATGAAAAAGAACAAACATAGTTTCCAGTAATGGCAAAATATTTGGAGTCTAGGTCTGGCCCTGCATCCTGGAGATCCCCTGTCACTTCAACTGTCTTCCAGACCAGCAGGTCCTGGAATAGTTCTGTGAATAATTACATGTTACACATGTGGTATTCAAACAACACACAGAGGCAACATAAACATTTTATTTTCTATTTGAAATTAACAGATTTCTTTCCTTCTCCCCTTATTTGCTACATGCTTAAGAGATTCTTCAGTTCCACTGAATTAATGGTAAATGAATGATAAGAAAGAAGAACATGAGGTCTGACACCATTTTCAATTATAAGATATGAACAACTTGGATGAATAACATCAAAGCACCAATTTTCTTCTAGTAGTTCAGCTCATCTTTGTTAACTGAGTTATTCATCCAATATGTTCAAAGTCCATTTAAAAATACAGTCCTTAAAATAAAATTAGCACATGCTTTGGCAGGGAGTAGCCAGCCCTTGTCAGTCCCTATCATAGCATAGAACATCTGAAGTTACTATTCAGCCATTGAAAAGCTTGTGAAGGGAGAAAGAAACAGATAAGTAGCCAGAAAAAAACAGATCAAAGAATTTAATGGAATAAAAGTGATCATCTCCCTTCTCTTAAACCAGCTTATTTCTTCTACAATATTTTTTTTACCAAAAAGGCAAAAAAAGGAAGATGAACTGGAACACATATAGTAGGATATTCAGAGATGGTCATTGCTTCTGTTTAGTGTGACTTAAACAGGGACACAATATTAACAGCTTTTGCAAGTGAGAGACATAATATTTAAAAATCAATGCAAGCGTGAAATCAGCACACATAAAGGAGGAACCTATTAACAAAATCCATTAAAGAATATCGATGATGATGTACTTGTCGTTCTGCCTCAATATATTTTTAGTCCATTTTCTCCTGCAAGTCCCTTGTTCCCAGCTTTACCCAAGTTAGTTGGAAAAAATGGAATTAAAATCTGACAAGAAGTTCTGACAAAAATGCAAGCTTCTTAAGAAATAACAGCATTTTCCCCTTGAAACACAAGGGTATGGAATAAGAAAATTAGTCATAGATTTGTGTAAAAATCTCAAACCAAATTTACACAATGACCAGTCAATATTTTTTTACTGGAGAAAAGGAAAATGAGATGCAGCTATTACTTTACTGCTGCATCATAAGGTAACAAAAGACTTGCAACATCTTGTTTCACACAACTGAAAGTACTCTTCCTTTTAATCCGCCACAGCTATCCTGTTGGCTGGTATTTTCTCCAAGTAATACTGTCTGTGGTAGAAATGGGCTGCTTCCAAAGTGTGATTTATCTACTTGTTTACTGAAGCACACTGATTTCCCATGAGAACAGTGGAGAGCTGTCAGTTCAATTTATTTAACAAAACTTCTAATTGCTCCCTAATTGCTGTGTAAGCACAAATATTGGAGAAAATATTAACAGGCAATTTCTGTGCACAGAACATTGAAAATGTCCAGAGATATCAACAAGAGCAAGCCTCTGGCAGATTTTCTGCATCTATGGGAGAACATATGTCAGTCAGCAAACTATGGGAACATGAAGTATTTCTTGTTCTTCTTTACCCCATATACAAATGACAGCTTACCAGGAGGCTTTGGGTCAGAGGTCTGCCCACAGTGTCACCAAACCATGGTGCTCAGTAGAGCGAGCCTGCTTTTCTGTGGTAATAGCTCTGCATCCACACAGACTATAGATGTTATACAGCCTTATTGTTTGAAACCTAAAGTGTAGTACCAACTTCACAGATCAGCCCTATTTATGTAATTTTCATTGTTTTGAGAATTGATTGGGGTTTCATACTTCACCTTCAGCCTGAAATAAATGTCAGTCTTTTGTCTAGCTAAATTATTCCATCAGACTGTGAAAATCAGGTTATTTACTCTTTTTTTTTAATTAAGTACTAAACCACAGTCATACAGAATATTTGAAAATGCCATGAAGGTTGTAGGAAGTGTGAGCATGAACAAAAAAAAGGTAAATACACACCCACAAAAATTCCAACTGCTCTTGAAAGCAAATCCTTTCAAAAGACCCTATGCCACATCACTTGGAACCAGAGACACATACAGACAGGAGACCAAGGAGCAAAGGTAGAAAACCTTTTTAGGGAGGGTTTTCACTAATGAAATAACTAGAATTCCTAGAAACTAAAATTATGATAATTATTAGATTAATAACACCAATTCATGCTTGATCGTTTCTGCATGACCAAATCTGTGACCTTTCATCTTGTTTTCTGTCTTATCTTACTGTAATAAAACTGGCAAGGCCTCTGTTAATAGCTTGTTACAGCAATTTATTAGGTATAATTGCAGAATTCACCATAGCCTGAAAAAAGTACTGGTGCAGGAGAAGTGCTTTATACTATCTAGTAAAGTGGCATTATTATAATTGTGATATTTTATTGGTAATAATGAAGTTTTATAAATTTTTAATTGCTTTTGTCTCTTAGCAATATGTATCTCTGGTTAAAATCATGTACTTATAAGAATTTTGAAAAATCAGTGTTATGAAAATCATTCAGACTTCAATCCTCAGCTGGTTACATGTCCAGTACCTTACAATTAAACAACATAGCATGCTTTCAGTATATTCATTATTGGAAGACTCTTACTTCCTGGCTTTTCTGTCATTTTTGACCCTAAAAATCAATGTGTACAAAAAAGTGCAGTTAACACATACAAATTATTAATTCTGGGTTGTTTTTTTTTTTTTTTATTGCTTGTGAATATTAAAAATATTTACCTCAGGTCCTTTGTACCCTTTTTTTCATTGCAAACCATTGTAATCAGGCTGTTCACAACTGATCTCTTTCTAAATGACAACAAATCTTTGTTTTGTTAAGGCTTTTTTGTGTGACCTAACAGGCAGTAATATGTTGTAATTCATTGTATCAAAAAGGTTTAACTTTTTCTTTACATCTTCCTCCTATGTGTAACATACTTTCTTGCATTTACAGATGACAATGAAGATTCCAGAGGATCTATCTATGCAGTCTGATTTCAGCACTGAACACTGCAGACACAGAAAGAACTAACAATCCACAAAGCAAAAACAATTCAAAGACAGTACTCCTGAAATTGTGCAGTGGTAATGTTCTTGAAATAAAATCTTGACACTAAAAAATCATTCAATACTGTAGTCACCAGGAAAGACTTGCTGAGCACTAGGTCTGGTGGTGGAAGCTGACACAAGTAACTGAAAGAAGAAATTTTATATATCTAACAATACTTACATGCAAGCAATAAATACCTCCTACAACTTGCAGTTTTATCTGTGCAATATTTGGAACATATATAGCTCTATGTATCCTTCAGCACCTCTATAAGGACAAAAAGGGTAAGAAAGTTTTATCTGAAAGTGAAGTACCAAGTAGTTATTTTAGAGCATTGCAGATGCATTAAAAACTGCCTTCTGATAAAGACCACTATGACAATCTTGTCTGTTTTTTCCCCCTGTTCTACACTGACCTCTTCTACTGAATGTATACCCTATTTTCAAAACTATCCACTGGCTATTCATCAGTAGTTTGCTCTTTATCAGAGGAGCAAAAAGTATTTTAAGTCCTATAATATCTCTTCTGGTAGAAATTTAAACAAAAAGACGTACAAATAACTTTGTGATACAAAGTTTTGCCTTCTGCTAAAGAGTTTATTAAAGACATTTCTCACAGGGACAGTTTCATGAAATAGCCATACTATTGTCCTTAAATCCAAGCCCTGACCAATAAAAGATGACTAAGTGTTACTGATATCCAAAGTCACCCTTTCCTCCTTTCTTTCCAGGAACCCCAAGAGATCTCTTAGAGACAAAATATGGTATATTATTTCATTTTTACCACTCAGTAACTTTGAGGTCAAGGAGGTAAAAGAAAGGAAACAATGTATCTCTTCTCCTCTAATTCCATCACTCCCATTTTCCCAATTGTTCCTGAAATAATAAAAATGTGAAGGAATTTTTCACATAAACAACCAACCAACCAACCAATCAGAAAAGAAAAGTGGAGGAGGAGGAGGAAGGAAAAAACCCCTAAACACAGGAATTAATGTTTGCAGTTGGATTTTCAACGTGTTTCCTAGGCAAAACCACAAACTGGGCATCGCAGCAGATATCTGCACATGGCAGGTATCTGCACACAGCTTAAAAAAAAGTAACATTGACTTAATACTCACTGACATCTCTGCAAAACTCTCAAAATCTTCAATTATTGCAAGAGAGAACCCTAAGGAATACTGCATTCACACATTCAGATTGCCTAGAGTAATACTGTACCCTCTTCCCAACAAATCCTTGCATCTATGAAAAGAAAAATTATGCCAAAAGTTAGGAAAACATGTAATAAAATCACTGAATAATTACTCTAAATCACAATTAAACAGGATTTTCAGAATTTTTGTTTAATTTTTAGACCTCTTTTACCTGGATATCCCATGTTATCTTGTTTTCCTTTTGGTCCTGATGGTTCTCTCTGAGCATCCTCCATGAGGGGGCTGAAAAGATTGGCAACAATCAGAAAACTGAAGAAGCTGGTTTTAACCAGAGAGCCAGCTCTATTGAAGTCCAGATTCATGACGATTTTTTTTCCCAATTCAAAGGAAAGTGGAAAACATTTAATTAGACACTATTATTCAAATGGTAACTACTAAACAAAAAGTGTTTTGAACAGTTATTAACCCTTAATAAATAGGCATTTTTGTGATTTCAGGAAGGTTGGATATCTTATATTGCTATACCACATTTTCAAAAAAAGGTTTTCATCTTGTTTTTTAAAGTAATATGTGATTAAAATCTTTTTACAGAATACTGAGTGGTAATTTTAGTTCCACTAATTTTAGTGGGAGAAAGTCTATGCTCTGATATTTGATTTATGTAAACTTATTTTAGCTGCAAAGAATCCATTCCTATGAGTTTACTGATGACAGAACACTTGCTGCAAGAAAACATTTATTTTTCAGGATTATTAGTATACTTTTTACTAAAGATATGCATATAAAAGCATATCTATGTGTATTCAAGTCATTAAGAAACAATTGCAAAGTACTGCAATGCAATATTTCTGGACATAAAGCTGATAGCTCTTTTAAAACCTCAGCAAGGCTACAGCCAAGCACTTAACTTCCTCCTGAGCTCAGCCTCTGCTGATGGTATCTATAATCTTCCATTATAGATACTAGGCACAGCTGAGATAGGGAGGCAGGACAAGAACAGGGATAAGACAATTGCAACATGGTCTTCAGCTATGAGAATATCTTCTTTTTTGACAGCACTAGCAGTTCTAACTTTCAACTTCAATTTTAGTAATTATAGAGTTTGCTCTTGATGGCCCTTCAGACATTTCTTGGGGCTGTGGCTGCTAGCGCTGCCTTGCCTTGGGAATTCTGTGGCAGCTCAAAGATTTCTTGTCAAAGAAAGTGTAAAGATAAGAGAATCTCAGAACTTAAAGCTGTGGATTAAATTAGATGAGAAAACTAATTAAAGAAGAAGAGTTATATGGTATTTCCCCCTTAGATCCTGCTAGAGAACATTGTCCTTCACATCTTTGTTACAGTAAACCCTTGACCTCCCTTGCTGTAGATTGCAATTAATTGGTTTTTCCTGTGTTCTCAGATATTTTCACAGGTTAGCAATAACTATCTGGAAAGATGTAATACACAGCTTCCTTCTAAAAAGTGTTTTAATTTGAAAAAGGCATCAAGAAGTCCCTGGTTTTCACAATTAAATACCATATTTCTCAGATGAAACTGATATGACCTTCCATTAGACATTTAAGAGCTAGCAGTAAGACTTTCATTTTTCTTATGTATTTACTTTTTTTTTTTTTTTTCAAAAAGCGGGAATGGGATTTGGAAGTAAAAAGATTTTTCCTAAGATCTTAAAAACTGCTGATACACAGTCCTAGAATATGAAACATGCACTCACCTAGCAAGCAAGCAATCTGGACAGAAAAGGGTCACACAAAATGCTTCGCTACACTACTTGACTCAGGAAACAGTGGATATACATGGCAAAGGTGTCTGTTGTCCAGAGAAGGTGCATTCAGCTTTGATGTGAATTGGAGTATGCCAGCTGCCTCTGAAGTCATTGGGATCTTTTTTTGCTTCCTGTCAGAGACACAGTGACACACACCTGCTAACAGAATGTCCTGCAGAGTTGTTGGAGAGCAGCACTGCCAAGAGGTTGCCAAAAAACTTGCTCCAGAGTTTCAGAGGCTGGACATTTTCTTCTCTCTTCTTTCATGTCCTGAGAAAGGTCAGGTCCCAAGAGACATACCATGCAGGAATGAGCACTAAGGGTACTCCATGAAGATGAAACAGTCAGGGAACATTGACCTTGACAAAACAAAGATGATACCAATGAGTAGAAGGTGTCTCCTAGACGAATTTGCATCTGCAGAGAAGCCTCCTTTGACCAAGGATTCCAGAGCGGTGTTCTGTCAAATCAGTTTCTCCGTTCATGAAAACTCTTGGATTTGTCATTGATGGACAGGCTGATACAACATTTAAAACACCTTGAGGCACTTGGACGGTTCCTTCACCTGACAGAGATCTGGACTATGATTATCCAGGCATGAAATGAACAGCCTTACAAAACTCTATCAAAGACTGCTGCCAGATTTCCACAGTAACTCGAAATTTTCTCAGAGATCTGTCCTATTTCAGGGGGACAGGTGAGACAGGCAGGAATAGCTGATGACAACTATAACATAATCCATCTACTGAAGTGCAATTTTATGCAGGACTGTCAAGAGGGCACAGAGAATCTATTTGGTCTAGAAATAGACCAGAAATTTGAACATCTAGAAAGCTGGTCTCTTGGAGAGAAGAATCCATGTTGGAGCAGATTTGCTGGCAGGACTGGTGACTCTGTAAGGGTCCCATGCTGGAGCAGCCTCTTCCCAAATGACTGCACGCTGTGGGACCCCACACTGGAGCAGGGAAAGAGTATGAAGAGTGGCTTGGTGGTCACCTGGTATCCAGACATGGTCAACCCACCACCTGTAGGGGTGGAGAATGTTCTGGTGTTTGTTGGCTGGGGTAAATCTGATTTTCTTCACAATAGCTGGTATGGAGGTCTGTTTTGTGTTTGTGATGAAGACAGTCTTGATAATTCAGGGATGTTTTGGCTGTTGCAGAGCAGTACTTGCAGAGAACCAAGGCCTCACCTTGCCACACCATCAAGAAAGCTGGAGAGGCACAAAAAGTTGGGAGAGGACACAGCTGCAACAGCCGACCCCCACTGATTCAAGGGATATTCTAAACCTCATGGCAACATGCTCAGCATCTAAAGCTGGGAATGAACAAAATGGGAGGTGTTCAGAGTGATGCCATTTTACTTCCCAAGTAATCATTACACATGAGGTAGCTCTGCCTTCTTAAGGATGGCTGCACTGCCTGCCCATGGGAAGTGGTGAATGAATTCCTTGTTTCACTTTCTTTGCATGCATGGCTTTTTCTTTACCTATTAAACTGCTTTAGTCCCAACCCTTGAGTTTTCTCCCTTTTACATTCCCAGTTCTTTTCCTTGGCTTTGTGGGGCTTAGTTGCTGGCTGGGGTTAAACCATGGCAATTATTTCTAGCTGCTGTGACTAACGTAGAATGAGTTTTTCTTCATCTGAGGTAGGAATAACCCAGTTTTCCTCCACATATTTTTATTTGCACTACAGGAATTCTCTCCCCTTCTACAGTATGTAAATTTTTGACTGGTCAGGGCCAGTCTGATTGGCAGATTCCCTAGTATTCACTAACCAGGTGGCCTTCACCAAATGCTAAATGCCAGTATTTGAAGATCCCACCACCCATTGTTCTCAGTGTCTAGCAGTCCATTACACAGTGTGATTTTTCCAGAGGCCAGTGCATGATAGGGAATGTGATACACCCACTCAAATGCCCTGTTCTTTGGCCCAAGCATCTGTAAGATTGTTTAGGAAATGAGTTCCAATGATTCATTTATTTCTGGAGTATTCGGTCCCATAAGACTTGCTTGTCAAGGCCAGGATGGGCTGTGGCATGAGGCACAGGGTGTGTTTCCAGCCATCTGGTGGTTGCTGCCACCATTTAAAGCACAGAGCTCTTGCTGTTTGCAGGAGCATGATATAGTCAATCTTCTACACATCGTCATACTTACATTTCAGTCTTTGTCCTCTGCACCAAAGAGGTTTTAACAGCCTGGCTTGCTTAATTGCAGTGCATTTTTCACATCCATGGATAATGTCTACGGTTAAGTCCACTCCTCAGTCATGAGCTCACCAATATGCTGCATCTCTTCCTTTATGTCCTGAGGTGTAAAGGACTGAGATAGTAATAATTCATATTTATGTTGCCAATCCAAATCCACCTGAGCCACTCCAGTCTTGGCAGCTGCTGGTTATTCTTATGTACTTCAGTGCCCTGGCTCTTGGGTACATGAGCATCTACATGACGTACCTGCACAACCAGATTCTCCACACAGGCAGCAATATTTTACCACAATGTGACAGCCCAGATGGACTTAGCCCTATGGTGCCAGTTATTCTACTTCCTTTACTACAGCCAGGCACACAGGATACTTGCTAACGTCCAGAAATCAACTTCCCTATTCAACAGCACCTAAATCCAACTGGATGGCTTTGGCCTCTGCAAATTGACTCGATTCACCTTCTCCTTCAGTAGTTTCTGTGGCTTGTAGTCGGGGACTCCATACAGTGGCTTTCCATATCTGATGCCTTCCCATAGGATGGCAGGGCTCAGCAGTAAACAAGGGATATTGCTTCTCACATTCTGCTTATTTATTATATAGTGGGGTATTATCAGCATGTGCTCCCTCCTCTTCAGGTGACATTCCAAAGTCTTTGCCTTCTGGCCAGTCCCATGATCACATCCAAGATTCCTGGATGACTGGGGTTTCTTATCTGAACTCATCATGTGATCAGTGTGACCCACTTACTCCATGTAGCATTTGCAGCATGATGTGCCGAGGAAAGCTTCCCTTAGAACATCCAATCCAACACAGGTAATCAGGATGCCAGGAGAAGCACCTAGAAATCTGGATCTCCTGTGCAGGTCCCTTCACTATATTTTGTTTTACAGTATAATTGTCTTTCAAAAGGATTTGGACTATTTTCTTCCCTTTCTCAAAAACTTTTTTTGCTGTATTGTCCTCTACAATGGTATCATCAGTGTAGGTGTTTTGGAGCTTCACTGTGTTCCAGTGAGTTTGGATCCATCCATGGCAGTAGGACTTTGTTCCCACCCTGGGGCAATTGATTTCAGGTGTACAATCATCCCTCCAAGTGGAAGCAAAGTGTGGCACTGGCACCAAAGGGACTGAGGAAAAAACATTAGCTGTATCAAGTGTGGTACAGCACTTGGCTGCCTTTGACTACAGTCCACATGGAAGTTCAGCATGTCTGGTCCAGTGGCACTGAGCAATGGCACCAGAATGACTTCATTCATAAAATTCCCTGCTAATTTATTCTACAAGTGGACAAGAACTTCTTCCCATAGAGTCAGTAGTATAACCAGCTCTTCCATTCTGCTAGGAAGGGCTCACTGTTGTGCATGAGATTACTCTGAATCAGAGCAAGGCCTATATTTTCAAAGGGAAATTTAAAATTTTATTTAAAGAAAGCTGCCACATATTGATTTATATCCAGTGGCATCCATCTTCATGTATGGAATATATGTCATTATTTCACTTTATTTCTTCAGTAAGAAACATTTTCTGCATAATTTTTATAGCTTTTCTTCCAGTTTAGTATTTTTTCTTTTTTTTTCAAGGGAGCATATAGAAAGATACTGCTAGATCTATTCTTGTATCTTGTAAGTAAATCCAGAGAAAAATAAAATGCCAGGTAAGTACAGCCACCTCTGCAGAATGGCTTATGCTGACAAAGTTAAATGTACTGTGACTTCTACAGCCATAAAATGGGCAACAACAGAATTTGGGTAAGTCATCAGAGTATGAAATTTCAGCTAAACCCTACCCTTCTCTAGGGCTTTGCATTTGCTATCTTCATCAGATGTCCTCAGGATTTTTTTTTCACTCACCAGCAAACATGAAAATCTAATGTTCTAAAATAAAAGCACTGGTCTAATATCTGTTAACAAGGAAAGGGCACCAATGCATATTTACCGGTGGGAAGACACACCATGAGAATACACCTACACCTGTGTTGTGGTATAAAACACTAGCTTTCTACTTATTTTTTTTCCTAAATGCCAAACCATCATAACCTGTTTCAAGAACTAATAGCAGAAGTAAAATATTTGAGAATGATTGATTTTATTCACACACATTTATTTTTAATAATTGGATTATTAAAAAAAACAAAAACAAACCAAGAATGATGCTATCGTAATACATCTTTTAAATCCTTTAAGTGAATTAAGTTCTAGGAATTCTGTCATTTGAGATCTAAATGCATTCTGGTATTTTCTATTAGCAGGATAAATGTAAGCAAACAAATCAAAACATTTTGATGTTAGTGTCTTGCATCTGATATTATTTTGTGTAAATCTCTGAGGCACTGCTTTGTTTTCTGCAGTATATTCAGAAAGTACACATTTTGGTGTTTATGGAAGAAAGTCAAGTTTCAATACTTTTATGCCTTTTAAACAATGCACTGTTGGCTAACAAGAGTTTCTCAATAAATGTTAGAACAATGGAGAAATAGCCTAATTTTTATTTGCACAATTACATTACCAGATAATAACTTTATAATCAAGCATTTCTTTCAACTGAAATATGGGAGCTGAGTGGGTATGTAAAGCTTCCTCTTTGAATGCCTTTTCCAAATCAACCTGATAGTCTAACTGAAGAGTAAAAGCAATTTAAGTGTCTCTGCATTAGGAGGACTCCATACACAAGAATCCACATTCTTCTTGTGTTTCAAATCTATTTTTATTGCCTCCACAGCCCCCATACCAGAACTGACCACACATTTTCTGCTCTTTGTCGTAGTACCACTTCAAAATGTAATTCTGACATTCTCCACTATCTTGAACAAGGTCACATGCATCTGGAAAAGGGAAATAAGAGACAGATTTAATGAAAGAAAAATCCACCCTTCTCAGCATCGTAAATTCAGGGGAAAATAACATTCGGTACCAACTGTCAGACAAAAGGAGTAGCCAGTGTTCAAGGTCTTACAGAGATTCACTAAGTATTCATCTATAACCTCACAGTGCCAGTGTGAAGACCCTCTTTTTATGATTGCTTTAGCCAGAAGGAATGTCTGAAACAACTAGATTTTCATTGCCATAAACAGGACTGCTGAAAGGTGTTTAGTTTTCTAACATAAAATTTTTATTAAAATGATTGTAAAATAACTATACCTAGTCCATAGGGACTTGGAAAATAAACTTTTTTATAATTCCCCTCTTCTTTATACCAACTTCTTATACTGGTATCCATCAATAAAATTTCATAAATTAGTGTAGATAGGTTGTTAAACTATCCATGGTAGTCTCTTAGCCAAATCCAAGAGCATTACAGATTTAAATTGCATAAATTAGCAAAGTAGGTGAGAGAAGCATACTTAGTAGCAATCTGGTATTCAGTAAGAACAGATCTAATCTTCTATCACCAATGTAAAGTCAGAGCTACTCAAAAGGAGACAGAAAGGCAGCTCTAGACTTTGGTGTCAGTACAGCATAAAAGAGGAAGAACTGAGATATAAAGAAATATAATGATACAACTTAAAGATATAAAACTACATGACCTAATTAACTGGAAAGCAAAAGTCTCAAGGAAGAGATGAGCACAAAGTACATCTCTCAAAAGGCAAATTCTGGTCCTGGGCTACATGTTTTTAGAAGTAAACTGCTGGGTCACTAATTACAACACAGGATTGGGGAAGGCAGTTCATACATCTCTCATGAGTGATTTAGGTAATTTCTCACTTAAGTGCAGTGACCATGACTACATCCTCAAATGAAATATTTTATTTTATTTTATTTGTAAAGTATAAACAGTAACATATCTTCCTGTTACTGATCCTCTCTATCCTGAATGAGGCTAGCAGACATTTTCAGAACCATTCTTGAGTGAAGAGGGATGAAAAACAAAGAGATAACAGCTGTAGAAATGAGCTACCATGACCAAAACTATGCAGACACGTTTTCATTTATTTTCACATGAATTCTCTCAAATTGTAATTTAAACAATAAAAACACTCGATAGTGTTAAAAGAATGTTGGTGACAAATGATCTCATATTCAGCTTCCCATACATATATCTAATGGCAAATCTGCGATGAAAAATGTATCACTAGGAAGCACAGTTAAAAACATGAAGAATATGTATTTTGATAACTCTGCTGATGGATCTTGTTCTTCCTACAGGAACAGACTGTAGTAAAGATATATTTAGTTCCTCCATGTTGAGCTAAATTAGCAGCAGGAGTAACTTACTAATTACAGTGCAACTTGGGAATTTTAAAATGATCAACTATTTTAGTAAGGGGGATTAGAACTTTATATAATATTATTACAAAAAGTTATAAATCAAAACTGAAGTTTTAATGACACCTGTAGTTCAGTCTAACTACTATATAGATTTGGACTGAATACTAGAATATGGTGACCAAAAGCTTTGGAAAAATGTAATTAGAAATCCTTCATCTTGTAAAAATATTTAGTTGAGTCCTTCACAGTTTAGCCTCTTTAATGAATTAAAAAAGATTTTCATATTCTAGAATCATACCATAATCATTACAGGCACCACTAGTTTCTACTGTTGTCTCTAAGTTTTTCTTGTTCTTCTCCTGAGCTTTTTCACACTCTTGAGGCTTTTTCCTTTTAGCATTTTCCTCTGTGAAATACTCATCCTCCTCATAATCATCTCTCATTTCTGGCATTGTAGATAGAGGTTCTTTGGTGTTCTCTTTCATACTCTTCTTGATTCTACTTTCATTTTTCCCCATGTCTTCTAAAACTTGATTGGAACCACTTTCAGACATTCCAGGAAAAGGTATCCTTCCAAGGAGAGGAGGGAAAAATATTTAAGCACCAATATGACCTTAGAAAATGCATCTGGTTCATTCCTTCTGAAATACATGAAAAAAAATTTTGACCCCAATCCCATTTCTGTCATAAATACTTCCAATGTAACAACTAACCCAAAGGGATAAATCCTACATTCTGAGTTATGCACTCAAAAAGGTAAGTAGGCAATTTCCAACCTTTCATTCATGGGTGCTTCCTGATGTATGTCTCCCTGATCCAAGTTTTCACATTCTTCTTGTAGCTCAGGTGAAGGATAACTGTTAATTTCTTCTGTGAGAAAGCACAGGTAGCAGGGGTGAGTTTTAAAGTCCTCAAAATGGCAGTATGGTTAATAAAACCCACTACCTAGCTGTTTTTGTGAACTGGAGTTTGCATCTTTCAATAAGTAACAAACTATACCCAGAGTGACTGACACTATGCCCAGAAAAATGAAAATTATTATAGAGATCAGATAGATGAGATTGATGCCTCAACCAATATTTTATTCTTTTGTCTTGCTCTTTAATACATTAACCTATAGAAACTTTGACATCTCCAAGCATATGCTTCTAAGGAGGATTTTAACTAAGTGGCAATTTCCTTTGGATATTCTCTTGCTTCCATGTCAAAGCATCTAAGACCTGCTAATCTGCATTAATGTGTCTTGAAAAGTAAATTATGTCTCTGCTCTGTAGAGAGGTTAAGGTGAAATGTGCAAAATATTTATCTTGTACCTGTCCCAAAGCCTAAACAGGCATAAATACAGCTCAGTAGATCTGGACTTGCCAATGGTCTGAGGAGAAATGTGAGCCTTAATCAGGAATATGACAGTGTTCTCTTAGCTGAAGAATGGTCTGTCTTTGGTGTAAGTGGAGTACTAAAGCCACATATTAAATAAAAACTTAAGGGGAAAAGACTACTTAAGACTAGAATAGAATGTTGTTCTGTCATTACTGGCACTTTTATTACTGTCCAGCATCTGAGGTAAACTAATCATGAAAGATCAGCAGCAAAGTTATGACCAGGAACTGAATGATAGCACATATATACTGACTACTTTTTTCTACACAACATTTGCCTTTCTTTCCACAGCTGAGGCAAATGCCTCTGTGTGATACTTACGTTGTAGAAGATTTAGGAATGCCCGGATAAACCTCTGAGCATACACCATCTCCGGTGTGGAAACCCTGCCCAGTGTCAGTGAGTGCTGGTCTGTGGGGGAGCTTGACAGCTCCATCAACTGACTGTCACTCACACCACTGCCAAGTGCAAGAGTGAACAAGGTGAATCCTTGGCACTTGGCTCCTAGTGAAATCTCTCTCAGCCTTTCTCTGTCCCACGTGCTTGTTTTGCTTCCGACTATTGTAAATATCACCCTGTGTTTTCTTTGTCTGGGGGCTTTAAAGAATACGTTTTCAACTGTCCACTGTAGAGCAGAAGCAATGGCTGATGGCCCTTCCAGCTGGTGAACAGACTCTTGGATGTGTTTCTTCATCAAATCTTTATTGCTGTATGTGACTAGGTCAAACTCCAAGGCCACAGGTGTCTGGTTTCTGTCAGGCAGGAAGCCCCTGGGAGCCTGCTGCACCAATGCCACTCTGATGCCTCCGTATGACTCATTTGGCTGTGAGGAAATGACAAACTGATCCAACATGTTGCTCACAAAGTCTTTGGCTCTCTGAAATTCTTCACTGCTAATGCTGCGAGAGCTCTCCATGATGTATGTTATATCCATATCCATCTGAACCAGGGGAGAAAAAGGCACCTCACAGTTGGTTCTTGGGTTGCATTTATCTAGAGAGGAAGAGCCAATAGGCAGTGAACTATTTAACAATACAATAAAAGCAATGATTTATAAAAATTTCACACAGTCCTGTAGATCTGTATTAGGCTTGTATGGCCAGGTTTTGGTAGTGGGGGGCACTACAGGGGTGGCTTCTGTAAAAAGCTGATGGAAGCTTCCTCCATGTCCAGCAGAACCAATACCAGCTAGCTCCAAGAAGTCTCAATGTGTGTGTGCCCCACCAACAACTGGATGGTAAGGTACATTGAATCCTAAGTTATATTATTTCTTTGCTAGCTGTAACATTAATAGGTACCTTCAACCTCATGCTGTATGAGTAATTTCTCTTTTTGTCCTTCTTCCTGTGTAGTATTAGTTTAAGTCTTACATCTGTTAACTAACAGACTTCTGTCTGTTAAGTAAATAATTCATTCTATAATAGACTGAGTCAGTCCTTATTAAAGAACTTGTGAATGAGAGTGGGTTTTGGGGTGCTGGCCACCTCAGTAAAGCTATTACAGAGGCCTGGGCAAAAGGCAAGGACTTTTCTAAACTCCTGCTTCCACTTGTAACAGGAGCTTGAAATCTTTTTGTTCGAGTAAGGAACAATAGATGAATCTTGCTGAAGAAGGTTTTGAGATACCACGGGAAATTATTCATGCATGAGAGCAGAAAAAAGTTCATAAAGTAAAATTTCATAGGTAAGAGTTCCCTGGAGAAATTGTCTTCTGTTGAAATCTAAACATTGTAAAGGACCCAGAATCAAAATCTATTTTTTCATCTCAGATCATTGTTCAACATTTTGACATATTATAATTTAGTAGCTTCTCCCCCTCTCACAGTGTAGAATTTACAGCAAATGAGCCTAGTTTCCAAAAATCATATTTCTATTTTAAGTGTGTTTCTGTTAAAAGGGAAATGCTAAACACAATAATTAATTTCACATGGCTGAGACAGAAATTAATTAAACAGCTTCTATGATTTTGAGATTCTAATTCTTACCATCCACTGAAGAGGAAGTTAAAATTGTAACTCCTCAGCAGTGGTATTCTGTAACCACAAAATGATCTGTCACAGAGGGCAAGAAGGCCCAGTTGCAGAACGGTTCAACTGGCTGGAATGTCAGAGACAGAAAAATAAGTAAAGTTTCCACTGCAAACTTCCACTCTTTCTCTTGGAAATTATAAGAAACATCCACAACACTTTCTTGAAGCCATCCTGGAATGGGAACACTCAGACATCCCTATGGGCCGCAGAGTTGGGCCAAGTTTCTCCACACAACCATCCATACAGTTCTTAACACATTTCTGCAAATTCCTTGTAGAACAATTTATGGCAGAAGGATTCTGACCAGTGCATTGTTCACTAATATTTTTCTTTTATATTTAAGCACAGACGTGTTTAAGGTGTATCATAAAAATTAAAATTCCCCAGGACCACATTGCAAAAAAAAAAAAAGCTATAGAATTTGTTATTGAAATGGTAAATAGACCAATACAATAGATGCAATTCATAAAATGTCTTACCAAAGCAAAGAGTACAATATGTGATGCCCTCCAAATTTTCATCCTGTTGACTTTCCCAGACAAATAATTGAAATCTTCTTGTGTCATCAATCTGTGTTTTAAAGCAGACACAAAAGGAAAATTAAGAAGACATTAAGGAAAAATATATGAAGACTTTCTATTTTTTCTTTTTTTTTTTTCTGCCAGGGAAGGATTATCACTTTTTTCTTTTATTAATGGGGTGCTATTTTTCTAAACAGAAAATGGCCGGATATCTCAGCTGTTTCTGGGACAAAGATTTCTTGGGAGAGAAAATTTTAGCATTAGAAAGTTTTAGCTTGAGAGAAACCTATGTGTTTCCTGAGATCATCTGAAGAAAGACAATTTTTCACAGAGGAAGATTTGACCACAGAAATGCTCAAGGAACTCTGAAGATGCTCCAACATTCTACAATTTCATTGACCACCACCCAACCCCTTCCAGATGTGATCCAATGGAAAAGCATTTCCTTGTGGACTAAGAAAAATAAAAGTGCCTCTAAAATATCACAGCATTACAGGAAATTAACATATATGAATAAGCTATAAGGGTAAGCAAAGAAATAATTACTTCTTTGCATTAAACTTTGGCTTTGTGTGTTATACACCACACAATAAATTTCTGATTAACATCTGTAAAGAATGTTACAGATAGAACTCTTCAAAGGAATTAGAATTGTCAATGACTGTGTGTGGTCTCTAATCTGAAGCTCCTAAACCAAAGTAAAGCCAGCAAGTATCTGGGGCTACAGACTGGTAGGATCATAAAGATTACACCATCTCTCAATGGCAAGGGTAGAAGTCCATCTGAAAGGAAAAGGGAAGTTGTGCTTACTTGGGGGTGGTGGTGACATTCATTGCCTTGCCATCATTGTAAATTTAAAGGAATGCTGGGCCGTGAATTTTTTGCCTTATCCCCTGCTAAGCAGATCTTTAAAATTTTTCTGCTCTGAAAACTGATTTATGTAAAGTCACCAGATGTCATCACATGCATTCAGAGTTTTAATCTCATTATACTAAGTAAAGAAAATACTGATTCTTGCTACTGTTCATCCTATAGAACCCCCCAGGCAATAAACCATAAGTTTCCTTGTCATATATCAGCAGAATTTTTTTATTCTGCTAAATTTTCATTCAGACAGAAAAATACACAAATCAACTAATAAATCTGAGGCTGCATAAGAATAAATGTAGTATAAATAATAAAAGACTGACTTAGACGTTGCTAGATCAGAACTCAGACTCCAAGTTTTGCAATTTTTATCATGTACAAGTGAGCATATTTCCTTTTAGAAGGAAGGTTTTGAGGAAACAGCAGCTGAAAAGAATTTTCTTTTGAAAAAGTTGAAACTGAGCACAGATGATATTAAATTGAAAAGACAGAGAACATGCAATCTATATTATGAAACCTTAAATAAATATAGAATTGCTTTCCTTTTGTACCTTGTAAAATGCACAGTTTATTTTTGTTTACTATCTTTTAGATGAAGTAACATTTTAAAACAAAATTTCATATTTTTTTCCTGTACAAATGGCAATAAAGATGCCAAAAGTGGTTTTGCTAATTTAATTTTCTTTTGAAAAAACTAGTGTGCTTGAAGCGTTCTGCTAATTTTTCTAGAAACTAGAACCAGAGTTTGTTAGTTTGTTAGTTAAATAATGTCACATATCACAACTTCAGAATTACAATAGCATAGGTAAATAAGTGAAATTAACACATTATGGAAATTCTCTGCTTTTCCCTAAAAGCACAAGTGATTAATTATTCATGTTCAGAAAAAGGTCAGATGGTGATTACTATGGTCAAGTGAATCACTGTTTCTTTGTTAAAATAGTAACCTTTAGTGTACCCCTTTCTAGTAAGGGATTGGACAATTCCTGTGGAATTTAGGCTTGAGAGCTGGATTCACTCAAATCCTAGCAGATGCTCAGCAAGTGGGTGATTGACTCAGTTTTCGATAGGCTGTCTACTTACAGAGAAGGCACGTCTGACATTTGGCACTTCACTGAAGGCAATAACCACTGGAGTGATATCCAAGGCACTCAACTCAAGCACAGCAGTACTGATGGCAACATCATCCTGCGATGGACCATTGGCAAAAAATAGGGCAACTTTTCTTGTGAGGATGCCCTGACGAACACGTTTGAAGACATTTCTTGCAACAAATCTCATGGCTGCCCCAATATTTCGTTTTCCACTGGATCTCTCTAGCGGGATTCTCTGGACTGCTTGTAGCAGCAAGTTGTTTTTTTGAAATTCAGAGAATCGAATGAGGTAGTGCATGTTGGTATTGAAAGAAATAACTGAGACACGAGCTCCTGTTGGGCAATTGCTTTCACTGATCTTAATGGTCTTCAGCAATAACATAACAATGTTCCTCATTCTTTCAAATGCAGCTGGTGTAACATCGTCAGACATATCCAAGGCAAAAACCACTTCAGTTGGATAAGCTGGGCATGTTTCTGTATATCAAAGCAGAAAAGTTGTGTGAGAACCTCTACACAACTCAAACATTGTTAGTTTTATCAAGTCTATCAAAGAATGGATGTGCAGAGATCAGATAGGCTTACCTGATGAGCATGCTGGAAGGAAGAGAGGAAGAGCAATTAAATTATTTTAAACTCACATGCAATAAAATAGTGACATATTCACTAGCTTTCAATGAAGAGCCTGGCTCAAAGTTCAAACAACTGACAGTCTGTCAGTGCAAGGCCACATTCCTCTTTTACAATCAAATACTCAAAACAGTGCAATTTTACTGCGTAAGAATTTTTGAATTTGTCCTGGGTTCTGCTGAGCACATAACTGAGAATGAACACACCTAATATGGGGGATAGCTGATACACAAAACTGTCTGTTCTCAGAGAGCTTCCCAAAGGCTGTTGGCACAATGCCAAAGTTTCATTTAATCTTTAATGAGGAAGAGATATTTGTTATGATTTTTGTAATAAACAGATAGGAAAAATGAGCAAACAGCATAAGTCTGCTTCATACACCTGCTGAAACCCCCTCACAATTAACAACTACCAGCCAAAATGAACCCAGATACAAACTACCAGTTTATAGATTTTCCTAGGAAGGCTATTCCATTTAGGAGGAGTGACTAGGTGAAATCAGAGGTAAAAGAAGATGTTCCCCACTTACGGCAGTTTTTTCGGGTGAAATTCACAAGTTCACAAGGCTGCAGGTTCAAAACAAAAAAAAAGGAATAAATGGAAAATCCCAGACCACCCCAAACTGAGAATCTTATTGTTAGTTTGAGCTGAAGGTTGTATCCCAGCTCCTAAAATAACTTTCATTACAGTAAATCCAGAATCACATGGTCCAGTTCCTTTTTATAACAGATAATACAGGGACTCTGTTCCCTTGCTGCAGAAACTAGGCACATTTTTTAGACATGCTCTGTTGCCACTTAATGATGTTTTGAAGTATTAAGAAATCATTCCATTCTTTATGAATGAGTGCCATCCATTCTTTATTTTGTGAAATAAACTGATCAAAGATGTCACCAGTCAATGGGCATTCCAATAGTGACTCAGATAGGAAGTGAGAAGTCCATGAAGGAGAGGATGCCCTCTGGACATAGAACACACCTGCAATAGTACTGCCTGCAGGTAGTCATCCTTGCAAAAATTAACAAAACCTTTACTCAGAAGTATTCATTTTCCGTGTGATTAGGATTATTAAGAAATCCTTCCATTCCCAGTGAAAATAACTGTTGCTGAAGAAATGCCTTCCTTTACAAGAGGGGAAAAAGTAACCCTGGCCATGAGCTGGTGTGTAAACTGATAGGAGCAAAGAAACAGATGAATGAATATTAATTGTCCAACAGTTTGTAAAAGTTTGGACATGGTGTTAATCTACATGCACAAATGTTTCTCATTCCTTAGTTGCTTGCAGAACAGAAGAACCCACTGCACACTCTGACAAGCACACAGAAAAGATACTACTTTATAACAGCTAATTGTGCTCACTGCTGTCAGTGATTATCAATGGATATTAAACCAGATAATTCTATACAGTATAGTTAGCTGTAAGGTGACTACTTACTTCCATTAAAATGGTGCCCACTGGTCCCTTGGCACCCTGTAACAAATTAAACACAGGTCCAAAAAATCAGACCCTGATAATGTATTTCCATGTATTACTCTGTAGCCCAAAGAAAATGCAGGCAACCAGTGTTTACCAGCAGTAATTTATGAATTTGTGAGGAGACAGCAGTTCCCAGCATAGATATCTCTGGACCTGCTCAGAGTTGCAGGCTACTCATCAGATTTATTTCTCTGTCCATTTTCCTTAATGGTTTTTAAATGTTCAATACTTGTTGCCCTTGAGGAGAAGTATAATTCAGAATTGGGTTCCTTTATAAACAGCAGTTTCTGTCCTATGGTTCTGCTGTTTATTTGCACTTCACACACTTTCCAACATCTGGCGTGTGACAAGCTTTCCCTCTCCTCTTGCACAGTACAATCCCCACAGTTCTACCTTGAAAGATCCTGCAGACCACACACATATCATTACACCTTTGCCTACTCTGCAACTTTTTCCTTGGGAGCTGTGGAAAAAACAACACTCCAAGCATCTTTTTTTTCCCAAATAAAACTATTGCTTAATCTTTTTAACAGGAATGAAATACAGCAAGGATAACTAATTTTCAAGGGAGCTTGAGTATCCATCATGTGTGCATTTCAGATGCATAAGAAGACTACTGAAAATTTTCCCCTACTCCCAGGGAGCTACAGTGAGATACACCAGAAAAACTTGAACATCCCACTTATTTTCCTCACACTCTCTCTACCATAACACTACAGATTACCAAAATTATATACTTCCTTATGTTCTCCAAATTACAGCCTGTCTCCATATTTGTTCTTTCCCATTTCAGTTAACCTTACATTCCTCCATCTGCCTGAGCTACCTTCCTCACCTCCTCTGCTGTCTTGCTACTAGCACCATCACTGCCATTCCATGCTTGCTTTCTTCTTATGTTTCCTAGCAGGTCCATGTTCTTCTTTGGTACTGTTCAGCAAGTTAATTTTGAATTGTCTGGGTCCTAAAGAATGCTACCTACAGCAGCTGAGCAGTGGTGACTGAGCTGTGCAGACTTGACACATGGATAATCAAATCACCAAGGATGGGTAAAACAAGCCTGTTTTGGCCGGCCCTGCCTACTACCCCTCCTGCATTCCTATCTCTTCCACTTCTTACAGGGTTCCCACTTTTTCACTTCACTGATGCACTTCTACAGCAATAATCCCTCCAAGCCCATACAACTCAAGCTCTACTTTCACTTGAAGAGGAGATCTTGAACTTGAAATACCTCTGAAGACTTCTTGGACCATGGACTGGCAAGGCCTACAGCTGTGGCTCATCAACTCAAAAGAGCAATCTATAAATTTTGTGAGTGGCCAAGCAGCAGAGAGGGAAATGTACTGCAGCTGGTACTCTTACCATTCTTTTGCCCAGCATAATAGAAGAAATTAGGATGGGTACATTCATTAACCAATACAATGTAATGAGAAGGGAAAAAATGCTTCCTAAGTTGCACACATCCTGTGGGCTGTGTTATGTAGGTAAAGACAACGTTACCAATAATGTTCCACATTTAAACTGAAAGAGTAAACTTAAGAAAGTTTAACAAGAAAATTTATGACAGTAGGGATTGTTTCTGGTCACTAGGGAGCTAATTTTCAGAATTACCACAGGATAAAGATAGACACACACGGGGATTCTCCTAACTACCTAAAGGGTTAGTCCTAAATCCTATTGAAATCCACAATTCTTTAAGAAAACATTTTGTTGTATAAAATGCAGAACACTGGAAATGTACTTCAAGACATCTACTTGTATTATGGATTAACGGGTTGTAGTCAATTTAAGCTTTAAGTAAGTGCCTGTCACTGCAAGTTTGATTTTAAATGGCTTTTCTTCTTAAATTAAAAAAAATGCATTGGCTTTCAGCTGATCTATTCAGTTCTATATTTCAGTATTCTCTGTTCTTTTCATTAGATATGCATGCAGCCTAAAGACCATACCAAATACTGCGGAAGAAATTCTGACTGGCATTGTATTGTTGTCCCATTTCCAGTAGCAGGTGCTCCTGCCCATACACATCTACAGGGAAGATGTAACTCTGTGCAGCTGCCAGGCTGATGAAGCATAGTTTATGATGCAAAACACTTTTAGATATTCCATCAATTTAATAGTAATTTGAAGAACAATTTAGGGTGATTTTTTAAAAATAAAGATTTTATTTAAAAAAGAAAATTACCATAGGTCCTGATGGTCCTTGGTCACCTGGATCTCCCAGGGAACCTGGTGCTCCAGTATTACCCTAAAAATAGAAATACAAGTTTTATTCTTTAGAGTTGCATGCACTGGTACCAAATTTCATCAGGGAAAAAAACTGTGATGATACTTTGAGTTGGATCTGTATTTCAGCAACTAACACTTCTGAAGATTTAGACCTGCACTTTCTCAAGACTTATTTCCCAAATTATGGCTATAAAAGATCAGAGTGGCAACCAGTTTGAAAACTTTTGATAAGAAACACTTTGGGTGTAAGGGTTTTACTTTTAGAATTCTCACAGAGTTAGCAGATTTATCATTCTTACTCTTCTACCCCTAATTCCTTTGGGTCCTTCCCCTCCTGGAATGCCCTGATCTCCTTCTTCTCCCTGAAAATAAATGAAATCCAGAATTTATTGGAAAGAAGAAGACAGATAGAAACACAGATAACCTCTTCCAAATAAGAATAACATAAAACAAGACAAAAAGAAAGTGATCATGCCCATTTAGTCATACCTCTGGACCAGGATGTCCTATGAATCCAGATTCTCCCTATGAAAAGAAAGGACAAAGACTTCATAAGAATCTAGAACTTTGTGATCTGCTTAGTGATGGATGTCTTAAAACCAAAAACAATTTCAAATTTTTTCTCAGCTTTACAACTCATTCGAGCAATTAGCAATTACTGGCTCGTAGCAGCTAGTAGTGGCTGCTACTCTTGTCCCAAATGACACCACTTTAGATTAATACCTTGCTCATCTAAAGGAAGAGCATTTTAAGAATTTCCATCAGTTTCTAAATTTTCAAGAATATTCCATTTCTCAAGTAAGTGTTTTATCAAAACTTATTCATGCCTCCTAATAACACACAGAGGAATTCCCATGTAGCATGTGAATTCAGATTCAGAACTCAGTGTTTGAATGTAGTTACAAAATTTCACACCACCCAGACTAAACAATAATACCATGTATTTTCTTGGCTTACTAGAGGCCAATTCATCAACTGTTTTCAGTTACTTCCATTTTTAGTGTGTTCTTTGTTTACCCACTGGAAATATGGAAACTCTCACAAAAACCAATCAGAAATGTTCTTTCCTAAATATTGGAATTCGCTCTTATGTATGTCCTTGTCCTCTTGCATATAACATATGTGTAACCTATGAAAACCTGCAGTTGAAGAAAATTGTTAGAGCTAAGAAGTTAAGAAAAGAGATTGGGAAATAAGAAGTATCAAGAGCCATTTTACAAAAAAGCTATTTAAGAAAAAGGAGTTCATCTATTGGAGTGGCTCCTAGAAAGCCTTTCATAGCTTTTCTGCAGCTTTCTGCAGCACTCTGCTTCTCCTACAGAAAGGGAGAGTGAAACAGATGGGCTTATCAGTGAGATTCACTGGACCCTTTCTGTTTCACAAGCAACAAGAAAGGACTAGTGTGGCAATACTGCGCAAACTCTTTGAAAGGAGAACTGAAGATGTTTCCAACATTCTGACCACTTTACTCATGGGCTGATTCACTGGTGCCATGATTTTGACCTCATACTTTCTGTATACTTTTTATTTAAGCTGAATTTTTGCACAATTTTAGAGAAGAAGGCATTTCTTTACTGGATTTTTTCAGCATTGTGAAGGGAATGATAAGAACTTCTTAGCAATCCAGAGGTTAATCCTCAGATCTTACTGCTGACTGTAGGAGTACAAGAAAAAAATATTTCACATGAGAACAGTGAGGATGTTTGGAGAGTATTACCCCCACGTTAGTAGCTAGGGAATCTCTCCTCTGAAACAAGAAAAATTAAAAGAGCCCATAGTGGCTAGCCCACCAGTACCTGCCAATAACAATGTTCAGTCAGGTGGGCTGAAGTGGGAAGAAAGCGTTGTGTACTACAAGAACAATACACCACATGTACATACATGCATCAGGGAAAGAGTAAGACTGAGTGGTCCTCAAAAGAGAATCCTATAGAAGGATGTCTCACAATCCTATAGAAGGATTGTGGTAGGCATGAGGCTCCCACTGAACCTTAGAAATGCACTTTGTATGTCTTACATTTCTTTTTAATCTAATATGGATAGTCATGATTGATAACACAGTAGAATGGAGTCTGAGAGTCTCTCTGACATGAAGCACATACCTTTGCTCCTTTGCTTCCTTCAGGACCATAGGCGTCTCTGCCATCCATGCCCTGTGTAGGTTAAATATACTGTGAGTTAGCTTTTAATAGAGGATATGGGTTATATCAATTTCATTTTGGAATCAAGATGTCCCATTACAATGAGGTGCCCAAGCTATTGAGACTGATGAAGCTGGACAAGTTATCAAAACACAATCTAAAACCACTAGCAAACTATGGCAAATACTGTAGAGGGAAAACAAGGATAGAGGTCACAGTTCCTTTCTACTGTGTGCCCTACCTTTATCATACTTTCTCTCTTCTAGAGAAATTGAGGGGAAAGATATTCCCTCTAGCCCACAAAAAATCAGGTGTCCATAAGGAAACTGAGAACCAAAGGTGAAATAATTTTAATTGTATGAAATAGAGAAAATATAAGGGAATGAACATTACTGAGTCAGATGGATAGGTATTAAAATACAGGGGTCCTGAATTAGGATAGGACTCACAGGAATGCCTCTCTGTCCAGGTGGTCCAGCTAAGCCCTTCTCTCCAGGGTCACCAGGTTCACCCTGTTACAATTGAAACACAAAAGCCTTAAGTTTGCTCATTCAGGAGAATTCTTCTTTCTGAAATGCAAACCTGTCTGTTAAACTGAAGTATGCCTATACATTTTAAGACTACTTAAATTAAAGTCTTAGATTAAAGTCTTACATACATTAAGACTACTTAATGCTGGGCAAAAGCATTCCATTACACACCGTGCTTCATGGACTGTTCCTGGTGGTAGAACTGGAAAGGACTTGGCAAATCAGAATATGCTGAGCATTCATGCAGTTGAACCCCAAAGGCTTTGTTCAATAAAACTCACATTGTAATAAAGAATTGCAAGTGAAAAAAAAAAAAATGTGGGCTTCGTTAAAAATTGTATTAGTGGTAGAAAGACATATTCTGGAATTTTACCAGCCAGAAGCACTTGTTGATAACAAATGATATTTCTCAGGCAGGCTGTCTGTGCTGTGCTCTTAGCCCTCTTGCAAGGTTTTTTTCCTCAGTTCCATTTTTGTTTTCACTATCTAACTATACATTCCTCTAACAAAGACCCTAATATTAAACAGCACAAAACCAGACTGACAATATGGAATGTATTATGGAAATTCCTATAAATCTTCCCATTTTTTGTCACTGTTTTAGACAGTGATTCTTTTCACGGCAGCACTTTGACCTTGTGATACCTCTCTGTCACTAAAGTTTACAACCTTTCAAAGGGTTAGCTTTGAAAGGCTTAGCTGGCTGGTATTATTTGTGATTTTTAGATTCAAAGATGCAACAGCATTTAAACTTAGTTATTTTTATTAAATAAAATCTCACATACCAATACACATAAATAAAAGTCAAGTAAGGATAACATTTATTATAAGTAAGTGAACTCTAATGTGAACAACCTGTTAGTATAAGCCTTTCTGTTTGACTTCATGTTTATTCAGTTCTTCTCAACATGTACATTCCTCCAAAATAGACATCATAGCAGTCAAGGTTCCTTGGATTGGTTTGGAATCTTTAGAAAAACAAGGTTAAAATAAGCAGCTATGCTTCTTTGAACTAAGGAGGTCAGATTGGACATTAGGAAAAAGTTCTTCACCTAAGGGTGAAGTCACTGATCAAATGCTGGTCACTGGAACAGGCTCCTCAGAAAAGAGGTCACAGCACAAAACCTGTCAGACTTCAAGCAGCATCTGAATGATGCTCTTCATGGTTTAGTTTTAAGTAGTCCTGCAAGAAGCAGGGAATTGGACTTGATGATCCTCGTGGATCCCTTCCAAGATGAGATATTCTGTGATTCACTGGTGACTAGTTTCAATGGGCTGGACAGACTCTAGGAATCTTAAAATAAACTCAAGGGTCAGCACTGCCGTATTTCTGCTCTGTTTTGTGAGAAGCCACGTCCCATTCAGAACCATTACCACAAGAGCAATTACAACAACAGTCATAGCAACTCTAAGCACTTCTTAGTATCGTTCTGATATGTGTAAGATTACCTCTTAAGGTAATCACTTCTAAGACATCACTTGTCTTGCCATGCAAGCTAAAAATATCTTAAAAACCTAACATTCTACATATGTTTCACAGCACAGAACTAACTCTGTTAGTCTAGAGTCAATGCTTCTTTGGTCAGTCTTAAATGAATGACACTGTTAGATTGCTGCAATTAGATACTCTGAAAATCTTTACCTTTGCTCCTCTTGCACCTAACTTTCCAACAGAGCCAGGTGAACCAGGTGTCCCCAGACTACCCTGCAATATGAAGTATCAATTAAAAGGTGCACCATGAAAAAATCAAGGGCTCACTGCACTCAAAGATACACTGCCATTTGAAATTACTACAGAATTGGTAAAAATATCAGGTTTTTGAGGACCACGAGTAAGAGTTACCGGTCAAACTATCATTCTACTTATCTCCTGTCATCTGTACAACTGCCATAAAATTCTCAAAATGTTATCAAGTATGACATAAATGTTATTTTCTATCTACATAGATACCTAGTGAATACATGCATATGTGCACAAAAATATTAGTGTACATATATAATTGGTTATGTAAGCATGAGCATCGTTACTTGAAAGAGATGACCAAGGCTGACAGCATAGGACATTCCAGTCCTGAGTTACAATGGTGTCATTTCAGAACAAGAATCCCCAAAATCAACAGCATCACAAAAGTGAGAAGTTCAGCAGACAGGTCTCAGTAGTTACAACCTCATCACACCCTAGCACTTGCTATTCATGCACCTAGATTTATTTTCAAGGCTATTATTTCATCATACAAGACTACAAATCAGTTTTCTAAATATTACACCAAAAAGCCTTAAATTTCTAGTTTTTAAGCTTTTTTTTTAATTAATATAAGAGCAACATCAACACTGAGAATTAAAAGCTTTCATGGGTTCAGCTGGAATATATTATTTAAAGCTAACCAGAGGTCCTGGCATGCCTTGTGGTCCTGGAGGTCCTTTGATCCCTTGTGGTCCCCTTGGCCCCTGATTTAAAGAAACCATTGAAACAAAAAGTCAATTCAATGTTGACAGCTTTTCAATGACAATCACATTGCTGCAATGACCAGAAACCCAGTTCCTGTTTCACAAGCCTTATTTTACAGGTAAAACTTCTGGCTGCTTTGTTATAAGGATTTCCCTGTGTGAAGCACCTGAGATGGTCACTGCCTGCCAGCCTGATTCAGAGACCCACTGAGGTGTCTAAGATAACAAGGGAGCCATAAGCAGCCTACTATAAACTAGGCACACTGTCTCCATCCTAAAATGCAAAGTTAAAAGCATCTTTAGAGTATCTAAGAGCATCTTTAAACTAGAAGCTACTGTAAGATGTCTACCATGATAATTCTCTTCAAAATTACTCCACCTAGATATTTTTTTAAACACAGAGCTTTTCCCATTGCTTTTATCTATGCAATAGATTTTATGTATTTATTGATAACAATTTCTAATGAATTAATTTTGAAGATTTCTGCTTGATAATATCATGTAAGTTGGAGGTGTGTTGACTAAATTACTTACTTTTGCTACTCATGTTCCTCTTAATTTCACTAGAAGTTGCACCCATATAACTTGTCACATTTAATTCCTCAGGGTTACAGAAAAAAATTTCCAAGGAGTCTTACTCATAATAATCACTACTTTAAATTAACAAAGCTTTCCAAAATACAAACAAAACATCAAGGCTGACAATTCCTTTTCAAGATAACTAACATACAATCAACTCAGAAGTTCTGTTAGTTACCTGTGGGCCTGGAAGACCAGTTTCTCCTGTGTAACCTGTTTCTCCCAGATGTCCTTTCTCACCCTGCCAAAACAAAACCCAAGAAAACAACAATGAACACAAACAAATTAGTATTTCTCATTTGTACATCAAAAGATAATAATTTTATATCTGTACAGAGTATCAGTTGATAGAATGCTTTTCAATGCACTCAGTTTTCAAACAGCTTCAAATTCCTGTTGAAGAAAACTCAAAAGCAGAAGAATAGCTTTTCTTTGGTTTTCTAGGGGGTGTGATGAATATAAAAGCTGCAGCAGAAGAGGTCAGTTTTATTTTGCTGATACTTCTTACTCCATGTCTCAGCCATATTTGTGCTTTACCCTTGTTCTCTGTGAAGACCAGAAGTCATAAAGTCAGGTCACAAGGGCAGATCCTCTTTCCCCTTTTCCATGGGTAATGGCTCTGAGGGGGAATAATGACTTCACAATGGCACTAGAATTAGACTCCTTTTTACTCCCCATCTTTCACTCTGGTTATTCAGTGAAGCAAATCAAATCTGCCTTGATGATGGAAAAAAAAAAAAAGAATTCCAGCTCCCATTTCCATAAAGCTGCTATCTGAGGATGAGTCAGTTTAGTTGATGTCCACAAGAAATACTCACTGCCTTCTGGATTGAGTAAAATGGTGACAATTAGCATCAAGGTATTACAGGCCTTGCAGACCCCCTTTCACTGGAGAAATAATAAATATATGTCTGAAGATTCTTGGGAAACAGATGGTTCTGGAAAGAATCTTCTGAGGAAAAATGAATTTCAAAGGTTGAACTTTCATTCTGCACCATATGAGTTAAACAAAAGATAACAGAAAAAGAAAAAAAAAAAAAGCCAAAAGCAAAAAACAGTGTTAATTTATAGCCAGAGAAAGAACACTGTAAAATGGTACATCAGTAAGTATATGATATTGCCAGATGTAAAAAAAATCAAATAGAAATAGATTTCCACAAAAATAATTTTGGCTATAATAAAAATGGATATATTTCTTAGGCACACCCTATTAAAATCTAAAACAAATTTAAAGTTTTCAGCTACTTACATTTACTTTGAATCAAAATCCAGAAAATTGGCTGTCCTTTTTTCTCTCCTGCCTTTTCCTCTCTCTCTTGCCTTCCTTTAAATTAGTCTCCTTTCCCTCTTCACTATTTTGCTTTATTTCCAGCACATAGATTGCAGTGTTGTTCTTGTCTGTGACAAACACCTCTCTGATACCACACCTTCTATTCCTTCTGCCTGCTGACTACTTCTGACTGTTAAGAATGGCTAACTGTGTTTCTTTATGTTGTTTTAACTATTTGAAAAAATTAGTCTCCTTTTATCACAGAAAGGAACAGACAATTGGAACTACAAGTCTTGGGAGGAGTCCTTTTTAGGATATGGTGAACAGCAGTGTGTTCATGGGAAGTTAATGACTTTGTTGATAAGGGTGTTATTTCAGTGCCTTTTATTAACAGCTAAACCTGAAACAAGTCCTTTTGTGTTAGGTGGATGAAGTCTGGCTCACTGTCTCTAATTTGATTATTTGTCTCTGAGTACATTACTAACAATATCCCTCTTATCTACCTGAAAGAGGGATTCTTCTTTATCCCTTTTCAGCACAAAGCCTTCCTCCTCCAGAGGGATTTGTCATATCCTATTCATCACATCCTATTTCCTTGCAAAGCAGGATACTGTGGTCCACAGAAGGACCCTTGAAGGAAGACCCCACAAACATCAGGGCTAAATAGATCTGCTTCCTGGCTCAGGGACATCAGGAGAGCTTCACAGTAAAGCTCTCATAAATTCTACTGATAGAGTTATGCACTGTGGCAGCTTTGTAACACCCTGCCACACAAGAGATCTCAGTGGAAGGACACAACACCCACAATCTCACCCAATGATGGATGCCACTGTTGTATTGCAGGGTTTTCTATTCCATCTTGTTTCACCAGGGGATGTGGAAGACAGAAGTTCAGTTACAATTCTCTTTGCCTTTCACTTTTTACACCTTTTCAGGGAAGGATATCTACATTACCTGTGTTTGATCACTGATTGGTACCTACCTTTCAATGCTCATTGACCCAGACAAATTTTTTTATATGCTTCTAGAAGTCAAAGCTGATCATCAAGTACTTGAATGAAAACAGTTTGAAAGTTCTCTGTTGCTGTGAGTTTCAGTCATTTCTCTTGTTCCCTGCCATTTTACAAAAGGGTGGCCTCATCACTGGCTGAGGCGTGTCTCCATGGACAAAAGAGGGCTGTCTCAACTAAGGTTCAATTAGTTGAAAAGGTTCAACTGACTTTGTACTCTGTGAATTTACTAAACAAGTTGAACATTCTTATTTTCTAACCACATAAGAGTTCTTGTGCTTGTTAGTACAATCAAGATACAGTACAGATCCATTTCGACTGACTTCAGTTTTGGTCCTGTTACCACCACTAAGCCCATAGCTTACTTGGATTATTTCTTAGTGTTGGCACCTGACAGAATAATGCAAACATTCATGAGATACCAGCTGCAATCCAACAGGAAAAAGGAAAAAAAAAGCACAAAGTTTCATAATTATCTAAGAAATTAATTTCCAATCAAGAGATTATCACGCAAGGATTGGATTAATTAAGTTGCAAACTTGATGAATATTCTTCAATATTTTAATCTAAAATATCTTCATAAACCTAATAAAGAATTTCTGAGATAGAAATAGGAAACAGTTGCAAAATGCTCATATTCTTTCAAGTTATGCTGATCCTGGCAATAGCCAAAGCATGGTGCTTTCTCCCTGCTTGCAGATAGTATCAAAACCTTCCAGTATATTCCTATTTGCAATGCCTCAGTGAAAATTTTGTATTCTCAAAGTGAAATCCAAATTGGGGCTTTCAGAAACCAGGTGGGAACAGGGATTTTGGCACACAGTATACATGTGTATTGCAAAAACCTGGGAAGTGACCAGACTGTAGTTTAGGGAACTTGCAGGATTCTCACTTCTGATTGACATTTCCTAGTGAAATATTAATTTGAATCATTCTAAATGCAAAAAACCTGTGTTACCTGGTGTCACACAATAAAGGTATAGCAAAACCTCTCAACAGGAGAGGGACAGGAAGCTCAGAAATCAAACACATTGCTGCTGAAGAAATATTGCTGCCATAAAAGACAATCTTTTTCCTTCACTGAAATTTATGTTCTATATTGCATCACTATGGTTATTCTTGCTATCATTTATTAACATTTTACACTCAAAATGCTGGTTGGCACTTTTACTCAGAAGCTACAACTCTGCCCATTCCCCAGACTCAACACACAGCAGGACTTCAAGATATATTCCACTCTGTTGGTACTGACAATGTTTACACAAAATTGTATTCTTTCCTTGGGTTTATATGCTAAGGTAAAGGGGGAAATGCTGTATCATGGCATATACCATCTTCCTTATCTGTGTTAGAAACTTGGAAGAGAGTTTGGATTAAATGTGACCACTTGTGCTAAAGAAAGGTTTTCTAGAATGATCATGTAACCTCTACTTGAGAATACCCAGAATTTCATTTTTACTTGCACTAGAATATAGCTGCTTTTAGATTTGCTTTGATAACAGTATTTTGTAATTCAAACCCTGGGACAAACAAGTTTTATTTTCCAAGAACATTATCTGAATGACCATTAAAGAGAATTGCAATGATGTCTTTACTAAGTACATCTCAGGAAAATTTTCTTTCATTGTGACTCTGTGCAGTATAAGTTTAGGTAAAGCAGGGCTACCACCCAACAATGAGAGAGATTTTGTCATCTCTCAACAACATAAGAGATTTTTCTACAATAGGCTGTTCCTGGAATGATCAGTCAGCATGCAGTGGGTTTGACATATTCAGTACATCCTATATTCTTCTAGATATTGACTTGGGAAATTATTTCCAAAATCCTGGCCAATTCTCAGAGCCGCAATTAACACTGTTTATTTTGAGCAAAGCATCGTGTAGAACTTGCCCTAATTTTATCTGTGCTGCATGTGTGTATCCACTCATATCTCTGTGTGCATGACACATATCTCTGTGTGCATGCAGCAAAGGAGGAATAAACTGTCAGGCTTCGCAGCCTGACTACTCATTCCTGTCATCTTTAGTGACAGTCTTTTCTCTAGATACATTCCCGTACTTGCCCTAATAGTAAAATTAACTGTCCTTTTATTTTGATGAAAACTCACAGTTCTAAATCTTTCAAGTCAGAAGGGTCTCTATTACATCCACCTGAGATTCAAAGGCTGCCTTGTCTTGAAATAGATTTTGATTGTTAAATACTTGTGTCTTGGCTCACAATGAAGTTTTTCCCTTAAGAGGAGCAAACACTCAGGCTGGACATGTAGCTGCATATAAATAGCAGCAGTGTCAGCCACTCACCTTTATACCTGGAGGGCCTCTTCGACCTGCTGCACCCTAGGAAGGAATGGCATGAGAGATTACATCCAGAATACTGAGCAATATGTGAAACAGCAGTTTATCATAAAACATTATATATACAATAAAACCAAATGCAGCTTAAAGAAAGCAGAGATTATTTCCACAGAAAGATTTAAGGTAAAAAAATGAGAAAAAGGTGGATTTGGGACAGAAATTCTTACACATGTAAGTCTTTCCAAAAAGAAAATATATTTTGGATTTTTAATGAGTGCAGAGAGAAGGCATTTCAACAAAATGATGGAAAACATCTTCCCAGTCAGCTGCCCTTGGGCTAAACTAAAGAGAACAAGTGCCCTCCTCTCCTTGTGAGCCCAGAGGTTTGCACCACTTCCTGCTGCACACTGCTCAGCAGCTCTAGTCAATGTTACTGCTAAACCTCACATCACCAGAGGCCTTTAGGATGTTTTTGCAGCATGACTGAGGAGTGATCATGCCCCACTTTGGCATTAGGCACCATTCTGACAGACTAGAAGAGGGGCCTTCACAATTTCCAGTCTCCAGTGAACTAAAAAAGAGCAGCTCAGCTGCCAGTGAGCTTATCTATATGCTTGAACAGACATGGAAAACTTGTAGTTATAGGCAGAAACAAGAGATAGATTCCTCTGGGGTAGAATCGTGAAGCAATTAAGGCTCACTGAGAAAGAAATTGAGTTTAAGGCTTGTGACTTCATATGAATCAGATCTGAATTTAACAGGAATGCAAATTCCTGATTTTAAAGAAAACACATTGCAATATATATAAGCTACTAAATTTAAGCCAAATATGTTTCACTATGAAACTTTAGAAGACTTTTGTTCCTTCTCCTTGCAGGAGTTTGAAGGGTGGGATAACAGGAAGAACACAAAAATTAGTTTTCCCAGAGGGAGCGCCGCTGCATGTTTTATCAGTTATTTGAACCCCATATTGATTGCTATTCTTACATCTAGGCCAGCATAACCCTGCTCTCCTTGGAGTCCACATGGGCCTGGGTCTCCCTGAAAAACAAAGTAATGACCATGCTCTTTAAACACTCTTTCCTTTTTCTAGTACATGCACATTCTCCTTTACACATTCTTTCTTTGTTTCTTCTTCTAAGTATTTTCATTGCAATTGTGTCATACTAATGTTGATTCTTGCTTTCTGCAAATCATTTATATTCAAAAATTATGAACCAGACAGATCACATCTGCTTTGGATTTCCAATAACTAAGAGCCAATACTAAGTAAAGGCTTCTGTGAAATCATTCTTATTGATTTCAGCCTTTCAGTTTGACTACTTAAGATATTTGCTTCCAAAGAGTAATCAAAACCTAATTATTCTCCAAAAAGTAACTCTCAGAGTTTTTCTACTGCTTTAAGCAGTCTACAGAGACATACATCTATGCATACAACCCTACTTGTTCAGAGAGAATCAGACTTCTAAAACAGTGAATTTTTCTCACATGTTTGCCACCCTCTTAAACTTTAATTCACCATCATTTTTGTACTGCCCAATTACTTGTCAGTTTTGCTTATTTTTTCCCCCAAAAAATGTAATGGTAATGCAAGTTTTTATGCTTCTTTCCTTGCAGTTTTGCTAAAACACCTGTGAAAAACTCAAGCATCACTATAGAAGCACATATCCAAACTCTTATATTCTATTTACAAATCAAAATGGAGTTTACCCACCATGCTGAGCCAATAGCAGTCCCATAACATACTGAGTACAGCCTGTTGATACCCTGTGCATTTTTCCCAGCATGATTTTTAACAGTGTTCTTACAATCCATTACTGGAAGCCTTTCAGGCTACTAATGTAAATTTGTGGTAGAATAATACATTTACATTAAATCCATATTTTCCATTAACCCTATATTATGAGAATATTTCTGTAGTCTTTGTAAATATTTTAACTTTTATTTTATTTTTCCTCCTGTATCAAGCAGTTCCTAAAGCTTTCTGTGTTGGAGACAAACACTAAAGGCAAAATGCAAACAGAAACCTCCTTGGTCACTAGACAGCCAATAGAAATTAGCAATTAGGTAAATCCTCTCTTCACAAAATAGAACAACTTGCTTACCTGTGGTGCTAGGCTTCCCTTTTCACCCTTAGGGCCACTAACATTATTGTTAGCCCCAGGATCTCCCTGAAAAAGATCAATGGAAAGCTCATTATTTCCCATTACCATACCTTTATTACTTTGACTACTGCAGAAGGATACAGAAATAGAATTAATTAGATTTGTAATTGCAGACAGCAAAGAAATAAAAAGGCTGTTTTAAATGAAGATACTTGTAAGAACATGATATAAGAAGTTCTTTAAAGTCCACAAAGTTCTTTTCCACAGAGCTTAAAAGTAAAATTACTAATGGACAGCAAATTAAACTTAAAATGTGAAACTGTTCTGGTTGATTTGATATAGTTAATTGAGTTAAGATCATAATTCATGAGTTTCAGATGATGGGTTACACTAGAATGGAGTTCCATTTCACCACTTAATGCTAGATCAGGTGAAATTCTAATCTTTTGAAGAGGCAAATTACTATGACACTTGAGCATTTTTTTATTCAATTTAAGCTTTAAAGACAGAAGTCAGCACAAAATATGACTGCTTGGAACAAAGTCTTTGAAATTTATGTGAAAAGACAAAGTTGTATCTTTTCAAGACAAGAATTGTGGTGTCTGCACTGGAATTTTAGTCCTCAGGCAGTGCATTTATACAGGTCTCTGGAGCATGCAAGGGAAAAATGTGAACATGAAGAAGTAACTTTCCTTTGCCTCATTATAAATGACTAACCAAGAGTCAGTGCACAGGGTTTTTAAGTGATCCAGAATTCCTCTGTAGGGTGGGAACCAACAGGGAAGACTGACCTAGTCCATCTGGTCTTTTCACCAGACCATCTGGTCTAGTGTGAGGCATCCCTGCCCATGGCAAGGGATGTGGAACTAACTAGTTGATCTTTAAGGTCCCTGTCAGCCCAAGGCATTCTATGATTCTATGATAAGTATCTCCAAAAGGAGATATGTTTCCTACAGTGAAAACAGACAAACCAACCAAAAAATCATAAACAAGCAGGAAACCTGACACTTAAGCACCTGCTTCCAAGCAACACATCAAAATACATCAGTCCATCTACATCTAAAGAGTTCAGGACTCCTAGAATATGTCATTTTTCTTGCAGAGTACTGCATTTTCTAGGACTGTGAAAAACTCTTCAAATCACATATATTTCAGACATCTCCATCACAAAATCAAGGTGCAAATCAGTGAAATAAAATAAAAATAAAGATCACTTACATGATCTCCTCTTAGACCAGATTCTCCTCGTTCACCTGGTTCTCCTCTGCGGCCTTTTCTGCCCTAAATTCATAAAAAGAGCACAAACAATTCAGGTCCAAGTATAAATAGTATCTGTGGCAGCAGAGGTCAGATGTGTTGAAGTCAGTGGAGCTACACTGATTTAGAGCAAGAGTGACAGCATATTAGAGAACAGGCAGCTATTAAAAACAAATCACATGCATTACAGACACCATTACACTTTGGAAAGATGTTTCCATAAAATCTAAACATTACTGTAAGGGGTACTTCACCCATTTTCCTCTGCTGCCTTTCTCTCCAGAAGGTCCAGGAAGTCCACGTTCTCCCTAGACTCAGAAAGGGGAAAGAATAAAAAAAATAATGTTTGTTCTTTCTGCTAAATCAGGTTCTCAAGTTTTTTCTGGCAGAATCAAGCTTCAATCGGATATACAATTCTAAAAACCCAACAACAGAACTTTTGTTCAGCATTAAAGCCCATTCAAGGTGCAATATCTGTACCTTTGAACCCTGAGGTTGGTGTCTTTAACAGCACTGCACATTTAAAGTAATGTTTACCTGCTCTCCATTAGTACCATCAAATCCACTCTCACCATGTTCACCCTGTAGCAATAAAGAAAAAAAAAGCCAATTAGCATTAGTCCACTTGTCTTTGAGCAAAGAAAGAAGTGTTCCCCCTGCATTTGGAAACTTGAATAAGGGCTGTGGTTTTAATGATTAGCAAGAATAATTAAGAATAATAACTATAAATTTTAATTACTAATTAATATTTTAACGAATGTCATTAATTAATGTCTAAAACAACTGTTAATTAATTAACACTTATTAAGAAAAACAGCTATTTAAATTATAGAGTTCCATCAGGATTTAAATTCTCCTTTTCTTTCTTTTAGCTTTCAAATATTTTCCCAGCTGCAGGACCTTCAAAATCCAAATATATTCCAAAATAAATTACTAGTATTTGATCTATCATGCTGATAACCTTGTAATTCTGATTTCAACCATCATATGTGTTTCTACTGTGCTTTGCTTTTTTACATAGTTTTATAACATGAACAGTGGATTGAAAAAAACAGAAAGAATAATCATTATTAAAAAATAATTACAGAAGATTGATCTTAAACTTTAGGATTTTTAAAGAAACTTCATAACTCTTTCAGGAAGAGTACATAAATACCAATGCTACAGAAATGTCAGTCACCTTCCCTTTCAAATCTACATTGCTTTTCTCTTCCCTTTGCCTGCAAAAATGATACAGCACATTGCAAACATTTATGGAAGTCATTTTCCCACAAAATACCCATCCCAGACTTAAGGATTTTGCAGTGTTAACTTGTGTGAGGCATCTAAATTAATTTGTAACTCTTATTTCATGTATGTATGCTCCACAATGTTTCAGACCCAGCCAAATAACACACTCAATTTTTACAGGATATTTTGAAACCTCTTCCATCTTATTTTACTAGGATAAAAATGAAGGGATTAACTGTGGTGGTTTAATTTGTAGTAAGAAATTAAATTAGCAGAGAGAACTAATCAGAAAGATGAAATGATATTCAACAGACTCTGAAAGTGGCACAAGAACAAGTTAAAATCAGCAGTCTAGCTCTGGTAGAGACCACAGTCTAGCTCTGGTAGAGACCTCCAATTGCTTTGGAGGTTTTGATGCTAAATTTACTTTGTAAAACCACCTAGTTAAAATTCCTGAGGAAGAACTTCTTTAATTTAAAATAGTTCTGTATCTACTACAAGAAAAAACAGCTGACTGTACATTTTGATTAAATTAATAAGTCACAAACAAGAATTTCTTGAATAAGCATTCCAGAAAAAAAATTGAGCACTAAGTAATCATGATTTTTATTGAAGTGTTATTCTTTTCCATCAGTCATTTCCAACCTCAGAAAACCTAAGCCAAACTTCATTCTATTAAATATTCAGTATTTCCTTTTATTCAAATAGCTATAATAAAATGCCTTGCAGACTTCAATAACTTCAATAAACTGCTTCAACCTTACTAAGTTGGCACAATTTAATCACATTTTTTATGTGCTGAAAGTTTCATATTTTTATTTAAAATAAAATCTGTGGATGCAATGACACAACATAATGAAGGTATTCACGTATTCACTGGATTTCAGTAGGGTTTGTGCAACTAGTAAGACCTACTGCACTATTTAACTTTTACAAATCAATATCACCAGCAAGTACTCTCCCTCTTCTACAATCAGATATTTTGGATATTTGAAGGAGGACAACTTACTTCAGAGAACAGAGCAGAAAATGGAAAAGGAAAGAGAAGCGTATGAGAACATTTAAAAGTTAGCACAGAGCAGTACTTTAAATAAAGCTGAGGTTTCAGAAACACTCTCTGAAACTCTCTGAAACACTTCTCCCAGCTGCTCAGTTACATCAAACATCTTCTGAATCTTTGAGGCTCACAAGTAATTTTTAGAAGTGGTTTTGTATCAAAGCTTTCAATACAAGTTAATTATTTTTAATCACTGTAGCATGGAAACTATTACCATAATAGATCATGGTCTTCCAGGCCTCACATTTATTACTGAATTATTGACCATATCCCCTTCATGAGCAGGTATGATTAAAAAGGTTAAAAAGCAGACTTGAAATATTAGCAGACGAGATGACAAACACAGATTGAAGAGAAGTTTGGATATTGAAGACATATCAATAACGATCTAGTGAAAATGCTGTCAAGCACCCAATAAATATTAGTTATAACCTTTTTTCCCTCTGCTCCTCTTCACAATTAGAATGAGATTCAGATGACCAAAATCACCACCTTAACAGATTATCAAATTAGTCAGTAAATAAATCTTTTTCCCATCAGTTAGACTAAATCAACTATGACTGCAATCATAAAAACACCATTATCACTGCTGGTTTTGATTAATGTGATAGGTATCTTGAATCCATCCTTATAGAACCATAGCAAAAGTACATTAAATACTGAGAAGTTTTTACACTATTTTCCTTCCTTATTGATAATTTCATTTTACAGGGTAACAAGAAAGGAAGCTGGACTCTGTTCTCAAAGAAAATTGATCACACATGAAAACACATACCTGGGTTCCTCTATAGCCTCTGGCCCCCTGAAATTTAAAATAAATATAGGTGAAATTTGGTAAAAGTATTTTTATTGAGCTTGAAAAGCAGGGCACAATAGCTTGCTGTGTAGAAGTATGCTGAGATCAGTATTGGTAGTCCCTACTGTAAAACCTTCTACTTCCATGTATGGGATTTCCTCCTTTCCTCTAGGAACACATTACAGGTTTAATTTTCATTCCCACTCCATAAAGCTATACAGCTTTAAAGGCCAGTCTGGAGTTGGTGGTGAAGAAGTCATCATGAAATTGCTTAGTCAGCAAAATCCTGAGCCATTCAACCATGCTTGGGTTACACAAAATAACTCTCAAAATGAGACAGCAAACACTGTCTGCCATTCCTACAGATGGATCTTGATGTTCATCCATGCTTCAGGAAGACAGCACAAGGATTTGTTCCCAGTACAGAAAACAGGTTTGTGGAAAACAAAATTAGGAAACGTTTCAAGGTTACATACTTACCTTATGGCCTCTGGCACCTGGACATCCCCTGTCTCCTTGAGTCCCACTGAAACCAGCTGGGCCTCTCTCCCCCTAAGAAACAAAAGAAAATGTTCAATCTCACCCATAAAATGATGATTACCTCTTAATGCATCACATAAGATTAAAGCAAGACAGAGCTACATCACCATTCACTGCACAAAGGACACAAAAGAAAGTCACCTGGAAATTTTCATATGGGCCATAAGAGAACATTAATTACTAGTTTGAGATGCACCTGGTTCTTTGCTCTCAGTATCATGCCATGTTTATAGTGCATTACCTATCTCCAACTGAAATGCCTGTATTTGAAGGTGGGCTGGTTTTTTTAACTGAATAACTAAAGCATTTTTGGTGAGTTGGTTTTTTCACTGAGTAACTATCTATGGTGAGATGCAGAGGCACAGAGAAACAGATCTGTGTATCTACCTGTTCCTTTAACATATTTTGGGTTAACACTGATAAGTACTCAGTGAGTAAGTGCAGAGAGGTTCAGGCACCAAATAACAACATCATAGCAGGAAGATAAATGTTTACTTACAATCCCACCTTCCTCACCAGGATGGCCAGGAGACCCTCTGTAACCTGAACTTCCCTGAAAAATGACAATTTAAAAGATAAGTAACAATGTTATCCAAGCACACCGGGTTCATCTCTATCAGATTATTCTGCACATGGAGATAGAAAACATTTCCTGAAAATTAGATCTGGTTATGCTGAGGACAACAGGCTCCCCACATTTACACAGTCACTGTACAGTCCTATGTGTTTGACATGGCTGTGAAAAAAACCCCAAACACAACCCCAAGAAAATACCAATGGCTATTATAAAATTTCAGTTGGTGTTTTCACGATACTCTCTGATAAAAAAGCTCATTGGAGTACTTGATCAAATCAAACATCTTTCCAGTGATTTGGAAAAGAAAGTATTATACAGTAATGAAATTCTAAGGTGAAATGAAAAATATAAGGAGTTGGAAACTTGTTAGGATGAAGTTATTGTAATGCCTTGCAAACACATAGGAATGTTTCAACTTTGTATTGGAAATCATGTAAATATCATACCCTTAGGGCAAAAACTTGAGCAGAGAGAAACTGGAACAAAGGGAATTTTTAGTAGCAAAACAACCCTGTTTACATTCTCAACACTGTCTTAGCACCTTAATCTATCCTTTTAGTAAAATAGAAAGGTGTAAGAAAATCAACAAGAGTAATGGAAGATACCAGTAAATTGATTTATGAAGAAGTATTAGAAGACTATACTTTTGTTAAGAGATAACCAAAAAGTCATTAACTACAACCACATAACTGAACTGCAGATATAATTTATCTCACATGCTACTGGAATGAGTAGAAATAATGGAATGAATAGTAGTCTAATGGAGACTACATATATTTAAAACCTTAATAATTACTTCTGCAAGTATGCTGTAGAAGTAGTGATATCTGTAATATATCAAAAGGCTTAAAACAAACAATTTAAAATCTTAAAAGAAGTAATCCTTTTGGATCAAAACAGACTTATAGAAGAGGATATTTGGAATAACGAGTCACAAAAGGATAAGGCTCGTACGTAGTGAAAAAGGATTATTTTCTAGTCTCAGCTTGTCATTTGGAAATTTCTCATTCCCAATAGATAATAAGTTTCTTGGTTAATCAGACTTAATTTTTTTAATCCCTCTCCATATTCTGCTGAATTGGTGCAGGAGAGTGCTTAATGATTTTTATATGTACAAATAATTTCAATTACAAAAATACTTTTACATAGGAGCATGAAGCAGAGAAAGGATCATATTCAGTGTTTCTCCTTCATCTGTCCTAACATAAAATATCACGGGGACATGCATGCATGCTCTCAAATACTACAAAAACCAGAAACACTTTGAAAAATAAAGCTGTTCTTATTTAATGTCTATCTTAGACCTCCTACCTTCCTTCCAGGATTTCCCCGGACACCATGATCACCACTTTCTCCAAGACACTTACAAATAACCTTACAGCATTTTCTTTCTGCAACAGTATCCTGAAAAATTACAAGAAACATTTCATTTACATATATTAATCATAAAACAAAGACTGATTTTTCCCCTCCTTTTGTTTGTATCATAAAAGGACTTACAAGGTTTCTCTGCAAGATGTTTGCAATATCTTCAAACCCAACACTCAGAGGTTCATTGTATCCAAACCCTCTGCCAAACTCTATTTCCCAAAATTCAGTCAAGTTCTGTGTATTGTCCAGGCCAACTAATAGAAGTGCATCAAGACCTTCAACATAAGCACAGACTAAAATTAGTGAATTTAACCACTATTAAAAAACATACTATTTAACCAACAATACAAACTTTAATAACAGCAATTCCCTGCAAGACTTACATTTCATGGCTTCAACACAGAATGCTAAAAGAAATCAAGCTATTGAGAAAAATTTGTAGGAGGAAAATCGAGACCATAATTTTCCAGTTGATTTCTCTCCCTAGCTGTCAGACCAGATTGTTACTCAGATGCCCAAACACAAGTTCAAGCCTGTTTTTTACCTAGAGAAGTCAGAGTTGTACCTAACCTCTGATGAGAGGAGTTCATCCTGAATTGCTTCAGGTGTTGGAGCTAGACTCCAGAAACAAGAACCTCTGCACCCCTAGGCATGTCTCTGGCATCATCTGCCATATAGTGACAAGTCATCACATACACTCACTTGAAGAAGTAAATACTCTCCCAGGGACTCCTGGGCAATGCCACATGAGCATGGAGAGGCAGTGTTACATGGAAAAGTTGCAATGGGGGAGCTGTACATCAGGCCTGTGGTAGTTGGAGGCTGGAACATCCATGTGGTAGTGTAATACCTTTAAAGCGAAGTGAGTCTGCTGCTTTCTTCAGGTCTTCCGGTGAATCATCCAGTCCATCTGAAAATACTAACAGAACCTGTCAGGAAAGGGAGTAATGACAAATCAATTGCAAAGGGACTGAAAGTTCAGTCTTTGTAAAAAGTACAGTTCACATTGAGGAATGGCTCTGAGATAGTCAAATTGCATTAGACTGTGGTAGATCTGAAATGTGTGCTGGAAAATGGTAGTGAGGAAAAATGAGAACAGAACACAAAAGCTTCTCTTCCTTGGTAGCACTTCTATTTGAGGGATTTTTCTTGCTGAATATAGCATGGCTATTATATCTGTTAGCATGCAAGGTAGGAGACAAATTCTTTTTTAACTTATCCAATGAAAAACTTTCTCTGATGTCTGAAGAATTCTCTTATATGTGAATGTGGAGAATCATTTAAAGCAAACAAATTTTCCCATTTCTCCAATAGCAGCTCCTGTTGGCTGTCAACTGGGCCACACCAATAAGAGCACCTTTTTTGGTTCTAGTCCTCTCCCCATGCAGATAGGCATGTTATCACCCTGCTCTGTTCTCTGCCCTGTGTTTCCTTCCTAAGACATCAGGTTTAGCTCACCTCAGCATGTTCATAATTTATATTTGCTACATTTCCATTTTTTCAGGCCAAAGAGTTATAGTTAAGACCTCTTCCAGGAAAGCACAATTTCTTACAGTTCTCCTTCAAGCTATCAGTCCCTTTCCATTTTTCTCCAATTCCCTCTTCAAACCAACAGAAGATCAGATTCCACTCACTCAGTGGATTTTCCTAGAAAGAAGCTGCACAAGTAAATTGTGTCCTTTCCCCAGTGGTAATGACTTAAAATCCTCCTAAACTCTCTGACCAGCAAGTGAGCAAACACAGCTAGAGCTTCTTTCCTCCTACCTTCATATTTTACATTTCATATGCAAGGCATGGCTTTGACCAATGCAAACACCATTATTTCTGTTAAAGTAATTTTTTCCACAAGTGACAAAAGCAAATGAAGTGACTGCCACACCAATTAAAGCTAGAGCAAACTGGTAAGTTACCAAATACACAACATGGAGGCACTGGTACAAATTCTATGCTAACTCAAGTACCATGTGATACAGCAGAGAGCTGGACCATGGATGGGTAAACTCATCACAGATTATTAAAGACAACACTGTAGGCCCAGTTTTGGTTGTTTTTAATATGATCTTTCCATTTTAAAAACATGGGGAACAGGAAATGTGGGGTGGTATCGTGGGCATTATATGTAAATATATGTAAAGATATTACTTTTACAAAGCATCTGTTTATATCAAGCTCTTGTTGGAACACATCCATTGTTGAAAATGCTGGAATTAGGTACAACTTTTTTTGCTGCTAAGCAAACAAATAAAAAAGAAAAGAAGAAATTCAACCAATAGAGAATCATAGTCCCTGATGAGTTTTATAATGAATAATCTTTACAGAACAAGCATGTTATTGCTCAGGATCCTAGGAAGATTAAATTACGATTTCATGCACATTCTAAATTCTTGTACTTTCAATTTGTATATAAACAGTGTCAGAGAAGAATATTAATCCACTGGTAAAGTGCTGAGATATGTAGCATATTTATTTATAATAATAATGCCTAAGCAGAAAGAAGCCTTGCTTGACACTGATCTCCAGAACTGGCAATTAGGAGGAAAAAATGCTTTTACTTTTATGTCAAACAAGGTCTTTCTCTGAGACTCAGAACAAACAAAATCTTTTGTGGTCATGTTCCCTGTTCAGACATTTTAAGAAATCTTTGGAAAAAAAACATTAAATATGCAAACTGGTAAATAAATTAATTACTTAAATTGGTAAGTCACACACACACTTATGCAAATGCTGTAAAAAATAGAATGCCAACTTTCACCAGAAAGAGGAGGAATTTGTAATATGGCTTCCTCACTCCATGCCAGATTAAAATTGGTGTTTTACAAAAATTAAAATAAAGTTGGATGAGGAAACCTCTTATGTATTTGGCAATAACTAACCAGTCCTTCCTTAGTAGGAAGGTCTTCCTGCAAGGAGACCTTAGTAAGTGCTAATATTCAATTACTACAGGACATGCTCAGTGCTTTAGTCAGTGCCTTATCAAGAATAAATCGTTAAGGCATTGACCCTGCAACAGTCCAATGAGATCTGAATTTCCTGAACCCAAGTTGAAAGAATCCCCATTCATTTCAGAAGAGATTGGATGAAGCTTTATGCTTCTCCCTTCACCTCACTTCAGGATGGATGAATTAACTGCAGTATCTAAGCAGATTTTCCTGATCATCAGTTATCTGTAAGTAGAACCTAGCTTTGTTACTTGAAATTATTTGACAAGTTAATGACATGAACAAACTTCTGTAAACAAATTTCTCAAGTGGCCTTTTTCTGTAACTTCTGCTTTGAGCTGCCGCTATTCTGGACAAAGACACAGAATCATGAATTAGAATGTAGTTTCCTTTTAAGAATAGGAGTTCCTGAAAGAAAACCACTTTCCACTGCCCAAAGTACAATCATTCCATGGTATATATAAGAAGGTTGTTTGTATGAATTCTCATCATCACATGTGTTAAACCAAATGTTCTAGGTACCATCTCACTACAGGAGTGCCTAAGGAATTGGAATTGATATATCAAGTTATATCAGATCCATGAAAAAACAGGAGGCTCTATATAAACTTAAGAAAATGTGAGGGTGACTGAGCACTGGCACAGCTTGACTGGAAACATTGAGAAGTCTCTATTGAAGATACACAAAAGCCATCAGGACACAGCCCTGGACAGCCCACTCTAGTTGTTCCTCATTGGGCACAGGGATTGAAGAAGGTGACTTCCAGGGATTCCTTCTAATCTCTACCATTCTGTGATTCTGCATATTAGCATCATCTATTCCCAAACTACTTTTTTGTCTTCCTGGAGTACTCAGTGTCAGAGTCTGTAAATATCAAAATGCCTAATTTTTCCAAGATGTATTTTCATACCACTAAGTTACCTTAACTTTAGCAGAGGTCGCATTAAAGAAGTTCTCCTCAAGTGCCTGCAAAAAGTCTGCATTCATGTAGGTGTCCACAGTGCTCTGCGTATCTAAGAACTTCTGGATGATCTCTTCATTATAGTCTTCAAAACCAGAGTCAAAGATTAATTGTTTGTTCTGTGCCAATACTTGGAACTTAAACCCAATGTCAACTGGAGCATTACAGCTGGTATTTGGCAGTGATTTCATCTGGAGTAGAAGTCTGGGGAGGAATGCTTGCAGTCTCTGTTTCAGAAGCATTGTGGATGATGGCTGCATGCTCCTTGAAATATCAATTGCTATAGAAAGATCTATGATGCATTCTGAAAAAAAAAGAAATAGGAAATAGGGAACTATAAACATGAATTCATTGTGATCTTGTTCTCTGCCAGAATCATGGAACAAAATTCAACATGATTGATTTAAAGCCAGAAGTAAGAACCAGTGAGATAGGTTTTCCATAAATATAAAGCACCATCAGCCCACAGGCTTCAGTGTGGCCATGTGAACTTGCAAGTACGAAGAACTAAATAACCTGACACCTGCACGTACCCAAACTGCAAATCGTATCTGTTCTCCAGCTGCCCAGTGTCCTCAAAGGGCCTAATCTTGAAAATGTCTCCATGAGCTTTGCTACCAACCAAGAATGTTCAACACAAATTCCAGCTGTGAAGGGAACCTTGATGACTGGCTGTGCTCTGTCACAAGACCAGGCGAAACATGCAAATGTAGAAAAACAGGCCAAAGAAACAAACATGAGAGAGAGAGAGGCAGCATTGCCTACATGAAATGTCATAACCAATGTGAAAAACAGCTGCTGTAAGGTGATGGCTACCTCAGTTATGGAATTGCTTGCATTGCTGCTTATAATAACAACCAATAGTGTGACATGGTTAATTCCTCCCCCGTCCCAACCATCTTGCCATCATTAAAACTTCAGCTAAACCCCATGTTTTTTTCCTTCTCTACTTTGATTTTTTCTCATGTTGAATATTATTCTGAGATCCTAGATGCATTATTATTCATTGTTGTACCTCTGCAAGGAAGTCAGAGGCATGCAATTTTAGCTGTAAAACAGAACTCTACCTAAATTTATTCTCTTTTCACTCATTGACTCTGAAACACTTAGCAATCACAAGATTGCTTTCTGTGTTTGCTAGTTTGGGCTTGTTCCTATTATTCCACATAAGTTTTCTGAGTTTTCCCTCTCTCATGAAAAAGATAAATGTGTTCAGTTCTTTAACCAAATACTTCTAGAAATAATTTCATCTCAGAGGGACCATCATGTTTCAATATTTTCACTTGTGGTACAAACTGCCCCCTAGAGGATATGATCTCCTGGAAAGCAGTGTCAAAATCTTTGACTGTAAAAGGTCACATTGAACACGATTTTATGGCTAAAAAAATCTGACATTCAGACCTCAGAGCAACATCAAAAATCTATGTCTCATCTTCTTAGGTCACAACAAAGCAATCAGTTAAATATATCTATACCTGCATACCTGCATATGTCTACACACATACATGAACACAAAATCTAATGGATACTTCTTCCAGTATGTGTTCTTGTACAGAACACAGATTATGTGTTCACAAGGAGAATCTTCTAAGACCTGGGTCTTTTTAGTCACATAGTTTGGGGGCAGTGTGAAGGGTAATCATGAACTCAGCAACTTTGCCCTGACAATTGGTCACCCACACTGCTCAGCTCTTAAAACGTTCTCTGTCAAGTCTCCAGTGTATGAGCAAGAATAACAAAACAGCAGTAAATAGTTCACTTTTTGTGCTACTGTGTTGTGCATGAGAATGTGTAGATCATCTGGTAGGTATTCTATACCTTGTTGGTAATCTCTATTTATTTGCAGGAACCACCTGCTCTCCTATGAACATCCACATTGTTAACTGTCCTGTCTTACTGCTGCAAAGGTATCTTTTTTCTCCTGACAACATGCTGTCCCTGAAATTCAATTCTTTAAATTGACAAATCTGTCAGTTTAAAAGAAGATGACTGGAGAAAGGGAATTAATAGATTTATTACAGGAAAGAAGGTCAGTGAACATATTAAAACAGATGACAGGACAAGATGAAACAGGCTTCACAGAAAGTTGATCTTCATTTTATGAGATAAATTTATGCAGATCTTAGCAATAAATATATGCATCACTGAGGTGAAACCCAACATGCTTTCCTTGACTTCTCTCTCTCTAAACAAGTGTCCCTGTATATATATTAAATTTACTGCTGTATTTCCCATTAAATCTCCCTGTTCCCTGCCATGAAACACCAGGAGGTGCTACTGTGTCAGACATAGTCATGTTTCTCCATGGCAGCATATTCCACTTCCACAGCAGCCCTCTCTCTGCTTGCAGGAGTCAGAGAATGCTTTTTCATCTGGGAGTCTGCTCAGCTCTTGATGGGGAAAAGAGTGGGTGGTAGTGCAGAGCTCATACTGAATCAGGCCCAGCTGTTCTCTCTGCAAACCAGCCGAGCAGATTTAACTCACACAAGTTACTTCTGTCTTTAGGAAGAAAGGTTCAGCCCTTCATTTTGGCCTCCAACACCCCAGCAAACACCAGACAGTTTTGGGTTGTTCAAGATCTCAGTAGGCTAGGACGCATGAGAGGTCCAGCTGTTGTTTAAAAATGCCTTAGACAAGCAGTGTGGTCATCCCAGTGTTCCTTTCTCAGTAAGTTTCCGATCACAAAGGGAGTGAAACCTGGAGAACTGGGTTGGATCAATGTCAGGGCATAAAAAGGAGAACAAAAAGCATACATCCAACACATGTAAAATATCACCTCTATGAGAACACAACACACAGGAAGACAACTAGGAGCCTTAAAGGACAGTCACAGCCCTTACAATGATGAGCAAAAAGAGAAGAAAGGCTCCAGAACTGTCTCTTCTTCAATCAATGTCATGCACTTATGCCACAGTCAGAAGAGATCAGCTTTTTGATTTGTCATGCATTCCATTTTTCTTTTTTTCAACTTAACAAACACATCTATGATATTATCAAGCTACATAGCCAGTATGACTATGTAATGTTAAAGAGCAACTGTGTATGTTCTGTACTTCAGTGTTCCAAAATGATAAGGCACCTGGTAATGCAGCACCAAATCAGAATAAACTCAGACTCAAAACCAGCATGTGACATTTGATAAAAGTCGATGTTAACTAAAGGCATTACCTAACATTTATTTTCTTTGGGGTGATGGCAGATTCTCAGGCTGTATGGCATTCAAGCTACTGTTGCCATCTAAAAAATGTAGTAAGAGATACCACTTTCTGTTTCTCATCTAGGAAAAGCTTTTGGGTAGCACCTCAGAATTACCATGGATTTGCTGTTCACATCTTGCCAATACCTCCCACATATCCAAGGATGGATTTCCTCACACTCCCTCTGCACAGTGCCTCTGTAAGACTTCAGTGCTGCTGACAGAAAGTGGCTGCTGACAGACCCACTGAAGCAGTATGGTCAGCTGGAGATGGCAAAGTTATGTTTCTAGGAGGTTCTTTTTAAAATATCACTGAATTGTCTGTTTCCCTTTTTATTAAGATACCTGCTGGAAGTATCTGCTCTGGCTCCTTTCAGACACTGAGGAACTATGAATATGAAGGCTTAATGTGAAGCACTGTCTTACTTCAGAAGCTGTTTACCATACCAAGGAGTGTAGTGGCTCTTGACTGAAGCCAAGTACAAGCTGTGAGTTGCAGACATGGGCAGTATTCTTTGGTAAAACAATTGCACTGCTGTGCAGCTAGCTCAGGTGCTTTTATCAGGGACTGCAGAAAGCTGTGTGGATATTTGTACACACAACAAAAGTTTTGTTCCTTACCCTGACCAGGGAGATGTTTGCATTAATAGACCTGATGGACATTATTTTTGATGGTTTTCAGTGCATCAAGATTTTCCACTGTGAAATCTCCTTGCATCATCAGCCATTAAAAACAGCTCTCAAGGGGGATATATCAGCTTCAAAAACATAGATCCAATTCCTCCTCAAAGCCATTGCTGCATCCTCTTCCCTGTCAGCAGAGTACTCACTGAAAAAGGCTCTGCACAAGCCTCTTTTTGGCTACCAGCACTTACTATGAAGTGATTCTCTAGCACTGGAGGCTCTGCCCTGTTTTGGTGCCTCCTTCTTTGTAATGTAACTTTTGTATCTTCTATAATGAATCATTCTTGTTATATAAAGTGTTCAACAAGAATTTGTTGTATGCCACATCACTGTGCTCAATCACACCAACACAGATTTTGTCTTGCCATTGATCATTGTGCATGATCTTGAAGTTCTTTGCCCCCTAAATACTCCAGGATCCATCTACCAGGAAAATGATGCCTGTAATGAAAATTTTCTTGCAGAATGAAGAAATATGTTGTAACTTTCCTCTTTCCCTAAAGGTTGTGTAATCTAATGAAAAAGTAATTTTGAATCCTAATTGCTTTTCAGAATCCAAGACTGGATTAGCTTTTTGCAGAAAAACCCTTCCATCTATCCTGCTAAATTGCCATCACCCACTAGTTCCTTCTTTTCCCCTGTTGATCATGCAGAGGGTCAGAAGACACATCTTTCTGCAACACCATTAGTAGAAAAAGGAGAGATGCTGAAATCCACAACACAATTTTAATTCGCAGTCTGCTCAGAAATTATCTGTAGTAGACGCATATTAAACAGTTCCGTATGTGAAACATACCCATAAGAATTGTTGGCCTGCTCTCAAGAGAGCAAAGGAAAAGTTAGTCATGCACTTTGAGCTCCATTCTATATGCATACATTAATAATTAATATTTATTTTCTGAAGGGGAAAAAAATTAGTTCACACCAACTTAAAGAGTACTAAGCACATTTCTTTGTAGTATGTATTAAACTCACATATTTCCACAAATTCCAGAAGCATATAACACTAGCAGAGCATAGATGGAACAGTTTTCCAAATAGATTTCTCAAATCGACAGTCATGCAGAAAATATTGTTCATCTGGGCAGAACAGTTCTCAAACAGATCTTCCAGAAGACCTGACTACCAAAATGGAACTGCTAAATACTGTGACTTACCTTGCTTTTGGAAGTCTTGCAACTGTAAGAGCTTTACATTGCTTTTGCAAATATGAAACCACAGCATGTGTGAACAAACTCAAAATTTAATGAGCTGTTGCATTAAATTTTGCATTACTTTTTTAGGAAAACTCTCTTATTTCAGTTATAAGTTTTATAAAAAACATACCACATTATCCCTAATAGAATTCATAGTTAGAAAAAAATTTTCATCAATTGTTTATCCCTCTCTAACATGGGGTATAAATGTAAAAAACCAATTTTGCTATCAACTTGAAGAGCCATTTCTTAAGTGTATTACCAGTTTCCTCTGACTCTGCAGAGAAGGTGAAAATGTAGAGAAGAAGAAGTGGTTTCCAGGCATCCATTCTGAAAACCTTCCTAGGGAAAAAAAAAATTCAAAATCAAAGATAAAGGAACACAGAGCATAATTCCCTAAAAAAGAGACTTTTAATTGTGGAGGATCTGGGTAAGTGTATTTTATTAACAACATGCAGGCTTTCTACCTGTATGCAAATTAAAGTAGCACTTTAAATTCATATTTTTTCCCCTCAGTTTTTAACATACAGGCTTTGAACACAGCATTGTAAGAGATTGACACTGATGTACAGCATATAACCAGCAGGAACTGTTCAATGCTTTGCTCTCACAATCATGCTTTGTTCTGATTCACACAGCTATATTTACCATGATCTAAATCTCAACTAAAAGCAAGCTATTCATAGTGTAAGATTAATGGGAGTTATGCCTTTAAGATTCCCTTCTAGCCTTGAAATTTCCCACCCCCACATCAATTAATGGAAAGCTTGGTGGTGTTAGCTATATATGATACACATAAATAAGAACAAGCATTCATTTACAAATGAAATACACCAGTGGGCCAGTAATAAAGACAATTGTCATAGAGAAATAGAAATACAGTATAAAAATTTCCCAAAAGCCAAAACTCAGTGCTGTGGATAATGGGAATGAAATCTCTCAGGAAGTACAAAATAAAGTCATGTTGAGCTTAAGCACACTAAACAAATGGGAACAAAACAGTTTTGAATAACTTTCTATTCTAGGATAAAAGCACACTTGATTCTGCCTTTAACAACCCATTAAACTGTTTGTTCTGTATCTTGGATCTGCAATGACAACTTAGTAGAAAGACTACAGCTGATCTAACATTATAGCACATTAGGGTAACAGCATGTAATATTACCCTAGGTCTTGTAAATAACAAAAGGCAATGAATAGAAATTATCTGATTGAATCTATATTCTAACCTCAGGCAAGAGCAAAACTTCATTTCCTAATATCACTACACCAAGCTGCACTGAAGTTCTTGAAGAGTTCTTTGGAACCTTTGGCGAAAAAAAGCACCACATTTCTTGTATTTCAAGACATTTAACAGATACAGGAACTTTTCACTTTTATTACAACTGCAGTGGCACAGAAATTGCAGCTGCAACTGAGGTCCCTAGGCAACCAAAGAGGTTCCAGGTATTATGTAGTCTTCAAGAGGAGCAAAAAGAAATGCTGGGGTTGGTGCATTGAGGAAACCTCCTTCATGCCTCTGCACATCACAATTTTCTTTAATAAGCCTTACTAACACAAAGAAAACTGGTTTGCAACCATTTTGCATGCTATCTTCACAATTAAATTTTTTCTTGGATTTGACTAAGTTTTCTGCATATATTCCTGAGAGTTAATGACTGTCTTAAGAGTTCCCCTTGATCACTTTGACAAAGATTTAATCCTGTTATCTATTTTCACTACTACACCTAATTATAAGAGCCTATTTTTTAGTTGTTAATAAGCTAACATTTTACTCTGACAATTAAGTATATTAATTAGCCAAAAAAATAATGCTTACTAATTTTCATTACTGTGTTACACAGTTCCTGCTTGGATTGCACAGTTATTATGCCAGAGCAGCATTAATATCTTGAATTCTCTTGTTTGAATAAATTGCAACAGATCTACAGACCCAGCTAGACACGTACATATTCAAGGGCAGATAAGTAAATGGCTGCCAGTATTTCCAAAGCCTCCAATTAGTGTTTTGCTCCAGAAATTTCCATGACTATGAATATATGAAAAACTCAAGAGCACCAAACAGCAGCAAGCTTCCAGGGTATATATGGCTGCTCACTTAGATGAATAAAATACAGTTGGTGTTTTAGCAAGGGGCTAGACTTTCCTCAATTACCTAAATATTCAGATTTTATATCAAAATCTAACTCTTGCTATTCTAATATACAAAATAATCTGTGACTGTTTAGCTATGCATCTATTTCCATGCCTCCTAAGAGCTATGGTTTGTTTGTCTCCTTCAGCTTCTTTCAGCCCCATGACTCAAGAATGTTCCCTAAGAAAGCTCCCTGTTCTTTGGGTCAGATACCCTAGACCTGAAAAATCTCTCCCACTCTTCCTAAACAGTAAATGCTGGATGGGAACATATTTACCACTTGCTTTGGTTTTCCCTTAATTAGTCCCTAGTGACATCAGGCAGCTTCTTTAAATACTCAGAAACACTGCAATTTAGAAACATGTGCAGAGTAATTTTCCTACTTGTACTATTTATTTTGCCTTATCTTCACATACAAAATTCAAATCATGCACTACAAGCTGCATAGATATAGGCGCTTTAGGCCTTCTATGTGTATTCCTCATTACTTACTAACACAAAATGAGAAATAATTTAATGGAAAATTCACATCATACAGCTTATAGATACCATGGATCAAAGCCTAAATAAACTCACTCAGAAACATGCAGTGCTACAGTAGCAATTACAGTAGCAATATCTTAATTCTAAAAATTATTTGAATGTAAAATAGTATATACAAGGTCTTAGCATAAGGTACTTATACTTGCATATCTGTAGTTGCTTATATAAATATATATAAGCATAATTATGCAAGATGCTAAGGCAGCAATTCACCAAAATCTAAGACATCTTTCCACTTTAATTCTATTTTAGGAGACAAGAGCTGAAAATTATTGGAAGTCCTTAGAAAACAGTATAAAATAATACATATTTTAAAGCTCATTTTACTGCCAGCATTTTTACTTATTTGTTCTCAGAGATGCACAAATATGTATATAAATCTCAAAGGAAGAAAAAGATCAACAGTATTCCTGAATACTTTAAATGCTTTGCAAAGCTTACTTGCCAATATATTTTGTGTTCCTTTTTTAACCATCTAATGTCCCAGTCTTATCTTCAGTTGCCTCAAAGTTTTAGGCAGGTAAAAAAGTTATTCTGTAGATTTTTGTTGACAGAGCAAAATGAACTCTCAAATGATAATATGCTTTTTAAGCACACTGTGAAAATGACATCATGGAGATCATGAAGCAACATCTCTTTTTCACCTATGATTTATAAGCATCTTGTATACAGAATCTCCCTGCACACCTGACTGAGGACATTTTCCCTCTTGTGTTGGTATATACTAACAATAGGAACACAATCTCTCTTGTCTTAACTTAAAATCCCCTCTCTACCAGTGCAAACAAACGTGATCACATAATTTTCTCCTACCTACAGAAGTACTCCAGTTAGATTACTTCAACTTCTACATGCTGACATTATTCCTTCTGAAGTCTTTGAAATAAGCTCATGTCCTAGAATACAGCAGACAGAAAGCTTCAGCTTACATGCCCCAGTTAGTTATTCCTCTCCTCCATCATCCCCTTTTCTCTCACTAAAGCTAATTTAAAGCCCATTTTTCCACTGTGGAATTTCCTAGTTTTACCTAACAGTAAAACAGGAGAAGTCTATCCCACCTTCCCACCTTACCACTCTCCTCATACATCCAGGTATTGAACTTTAAATACTGAGAAATCATTGTACCAGAAGAAAGATAAATGTTGCTGTAAAAATAATACAAAATACTTTCCAGGTGTCAGCTCTTTATGTAAAAGATGAAATAGTTTTGTTAGTTATCTCCTCTCTACAGGCACATATTTTTTTCCTACAAGTACATTATCTTCTTGTTAGTGCTGAAATGTCTCGGGAAGAAAGTTGCTGCAGGTTTTCTGGAGAAAAAGGAGTTTCCTAATGATACCAGGTAGAATCACAGGACCAGGCACCAATTCAAGCAAAGAGACCCTAGGTGACTTACCTGATTTAAGAAGTCAATGTGAACAACATGAGGTTCAATATGTTTCAAGGGGTGGTTTTGTTTAGAAGGGCATGCAGACACAGCTGGAAAGGATGTGGCCACCAGGATAGGAACACCCCCACAGACAGACGTAAGTACAGATAAGCACACAACCAACCATGAGGAGTTTACACCCAGTCTTACAATGAAAAACTGACTGACACTTAAAATCAGTTTCATTTACAGTTAAAATCAGTGTCTGCCTGTCTCTGAGCAAATGGGATGATGTTTACTTGCTGACTTCATCTTAGAGAATGAAGAAATGCAATGATTTTCCATTTCCGTATTTGGTGTACCTTTTATAAACCTTTTGCCTATTTTCCCATTTCTCAGTAAAGCTTAATAATTATCACATTATGATCCTGTAAGTAGATATTCCTTATAATTCATACTTCTATATTCCTGATGGTTTAAACAGAACAAATTGCAATAAGTACACATTAACAACATTTTATAAATAGACCTTGGTATCCTGGCAGCCTCAAACATTTCCTAACCTACCATGAAATTAAAAATAAAATTACAGTTTCTCCCTTCAGTCCAGAAAATCCCTCAAAAACAAATCTTCTATCAGAAAGCCCAACTATTTATGATATCTCCATATCTGTAACCATACCCTTTTAGTGTCCCCCGAAGTCAAATGTGTTCAATGTATCAAGTACATATGTATATTCCCTTAGGATTAGGACAATTCCCTCAGAAGTCCTGAGATCCTCTAAAAATCTTTCTCTATTTTACGCACCTTCCCTTAGCTCAGCATGAGCAACCTGTGACTTCCATAACATATGATAGTGAGACAAGCAGAGCTGTCCTTGCTGCCTGCCAGGTGCCAGAAGTAAAAATTCTGTAAGACTCAGATAACAAATTTTCTGACACTGCTATGTTGCCTGCCCCAACTCCCAATACTTTGCTTTAGGGAAATCTTCACTGAAAAGTCTGTGCTTTTTTCCTCATAAAGCTATTTTTTAACACAGAATAAAAAAACCCACAAATGGCTGATAACCTCATTAGTTAAAAATTAATTCTAACCAGCATATTTACAACATCTACCTAAAACCACAGTTAGCTCTTCTGAGAGTCTGATAAGCTTTCACTTCTTCACTTTGCACATTCTGTAATTAGCTGTTTACTAATCACACCCTAATTTAAACTGCTATACTCAGGTAAAACTAATTAAAGCTTGCCTCTAAGCGTATGAATTCAACTAGACTATCCCAAATTGTCACTAAAATATGAATGTTGCACCCCACCTCACATATGAACATAACTGTGCACATTACTATGGCTTTAGACTTTACTCTTGCCTTAGTTTTCTTAAGAAAGAAGTCAAGCTGAAAGGTTACATCTCACCTTTCATCCCAGATGGGGGAAAAAAAATTAAAACCAAACCCAGTAAATGGAGCTGTGAAACTTAAGAGTCTTTAAACCTTGTTAAATGAGTTTTACCTAGCAATGACTCATCTTGACCCAGAGTAAGTTCCCTTTCAAACTCCTAAACACTCTGTTCTTTGGCCTCAATTAAAGAAGAGCAGAAGGGGACCTCCTATGACAATTTGGGACTCTAACCAATAACCTGTATATATGTATTTCACATGAAGGTAATGTATCTCCTACTAAGGGAGTTGTTAAAAGTGGTAAAGGAGGCCAAAAGAATAGCTCCTTCATATGGAGGAGTAGTTTTCCCACATCAGAAAGTTCTTATGAACTAGAGATACATTTGTTATTGTTCCTCTCTCTCTTTCCTATCTGTTCTGGCCTTAGACTTACTTTGCTGTAGTATCATGCCAGTGCCACAGATCAAGTTTGTTTACATACAGGAAAGAGTATAAAAGCAATCAATAGAAAGCATTAAAGCAGGAAACCAAAACCATTTCACAGACCTTGTAAAATGGGCCAACTAAACCCAGAGGATGATACAATTAATTTTTCATATCCTTGCTAGTCCCTTTGACTGGAAAGTAGACAAACGTCAACAGCATAAAGGCTAAACCTTACCCACATGTGCTTCACTGACTCATTTAGTAAAGGATATTAAGTGAACTAAGCACAAACATTTCATTCATGAAAGCAGCTTCTCAAAGCCAAAAGTTCTTAAGAAAACCAGCAGATGTGACTCTCTTACTTCCAGGAATATTGAGTGGGAAGGCGTCTTATCCACAGGAGTAAGTACTCCAACTCATCTGGAAAAAATTAATTTTATAAAAAGTCTTTTTCTAGAATAAGAAATAGTGTAAGTCACCTCATGCTGAGCCACCACAAAGTGGGGAATTTAAAATTGAGGACAACAGTTTCTATGCAGCGTTACACAATTTTTAAACCATCAATTATTCACTAACATATGCTAGATGTACCTTTGAGATAGGATTCTAAAAATATGAGCTTACTGGTGGTGGCAAGATGCAGATTCTTGCTTTATAAAAACTTAAATGTTAAAAAATCTTACCTTGCAATAGTCGATAGAAGTAAAACTTCTGCCAACATACTTGCTTAAACAATCCCACCTAATTATCCTCTCATTTCTAGCACTGAAAATCATGCATCTTTACCAGAATCTATCACTTTTGAGGGCAGGAAAATATGAAGCTAGAAAAAATCAAGATTTTTGCTTGTGAATATCTTCCCAAGACTACATTGCCCATAATTAGTTCTAGGCTCATGTTGTCAAATAAAACATCTTTGTAAAATGAACAAAGCAAAGAGACATACGCATTTCTGAAGCATCCTGATATTCTTACTAGGTACATATTTTACTTTGAATCATTAGAAATACATTTTGTTTATCCAAAGGCTCTTTTCTTATTCATTGACATGAAGGAGATTTGTTTGGTTGAATGATACTGTATTTGGATTTGAATATGTGGAAGAATTATGTAAATGATTGTGTACAGGCCAATTACAGCTGAGTAACTTTGTGACAATCATCTTTACAACTGCAGCTGTTGTGAAACTAATGAAAATTAAACAGCATGTTTTATATATTGCCACACTGGGAGAAGAACCCATAATAAATTCTGGAAAGTAAGTGTGGAAATCTGACACTTTCTTAGGTGTCTGCGTGCCTATGCTGGTAACACAGAAAATGCGTTTTGTGACAGTCGCTATGCACTAAAGTCAGAATGCACCAGATAAAATGCAACTTAATCCACATGCAAATGTTCATTGATAATCCTCAGAAATGGTATCTCACTACAGCAGATCTTGAAAAACAGTTTTGTGAGGAGCTAAGAAACTTTAAAATGTATCTTTATACAAAACCAAAATAAGACAAAAATTCAGATTTTTCCCTGAAGGTAAGTTAATTTGAATACAATCTGGCACCTCTCAAGTGCTGCATTTTCTCAAAAAAATCAGTGTTTTCTGATTTATTTTTTTTTTTAAATACTATAATACCAAGCTTTTAAACACTGAAATGAGCTAGATCACACTTGCAAAATGAAGGTTTTGTCATACATGGTTAGTCAGTATTACATAGGACTATCTAGGCAGATGAAAGAACATCATTTGAATCTCCAGACTACTGCTGAAGGTGTTGGGTCCTGTTCCTTCAAAGCTTTGTCCCTGATGTTCCAAACCAGCAAGAATTGTGCACATAAATTCTTTCACCATACTTTTTATATTGACAATGCCCACTGAAATTCACTCCATACACACTGAATAACCTATGTAAAAAATGTGTTTTGAGATAATATTCAATTAATAATAGTCATGGAATTTGGCTTTTACAACATCATCTAGAAAAAGAACTCTCTGTTTCCCTAGGACCACACAAAAGAAAACAAGTATATCAATGTTTTTTCCCTGAGCACTAATAACATTTCCTGGACAATGTTTCAGTTCAAGACTACCATATGCCTCTAATTATTTACTGATTAGAATTCTTGCATGAGCCATAATGTTTCTACAATCTAATTTGTACTTTGAAGGTTGTAGGTTCAGTTCATATGTAAAAGGGCTTCTAAACAAATGCTTTTACTTTGTCTGGTGTCAGGAAAGCTAAAAAGAAGTAGAATCTTGCACAACATAGTGACATACATATAATTTAACTACATTCAGCCCCATTTTAAAACATGCTAATTACTTCCAAACACTGCAAGCAGGGCTTCTGGGATCCTCTGAAAGTTGAGAAGTGGGTTGAACTACCACCCAGAGACACTGGCCTCAACAGACAGCAAATTTCCCTTCAGGGAAAGGAAGACAGCAACCATTATGTTACCAAATTTATCTGGAGCCATTGTAGGTAAGAAAAATGCTTCTTCATGCTACAGAAATGTTTGAGATGTCACAAATTTAAATGGGGAAAAAAAAATGCTAAAAGCTCAATTGCCCACATTCAAGGCTTTGAGTTTTCTGTTCCCTTCAGAAGGGAGTCACCCATCTTTTTTTCTGTATGGAAGCAGTTTTGATGCAGGTAGTAGAGCAACTTAACCTCAGGGACACCCCCATGCAAGATGAATCATCATC